GTTTTTAGGTTTATGTACTGGGGGGATTTTGAGCATAGTAAAAACCAATATTTGAACAACAAACTTTTGTTTTTTGTTCCGGTTAATTCAAGCGCTTTGATTCAAAGTATTCAGTTTATAATGAATTGATATTCTGTTACAGATCACACCTGTTCAGCGTTGTCAGAACACTATTACAGAAATGACCATTTCCTTGGATACCAGTCCGATAATGGATACACCATCCAAACGTTCAGCGATTTGACATTAGTACATTGCTCTGCATTTTGCATAGACACGGCAGATACTTGCAAGTCGTTCTTTTATGACGCAGATGACCAAAGATGTTCACTATTAAAGATAATTCCGAGCGATCCGTCGGGCCTCAGACAGCCTACCTCGAACAGTGTGCTTTATTCACCCATCAAACCAATACAAGTGGTAACTGTAACACAATCAACAACGGCGTTGATCTCGATTAAGACTCCCGAACAACCAACGGCCACAACAACAACAACCATTGAAATAACAACTTCTGCCGAACATTCACGAAATGTTTCAGAATGCTTAACTTTCCAGTCAGGTAAATAATACTTTTTAGCCAATTTTGTTTTAGTCTATAATTGTCTAATATCTTCGCCGCTCTTGTCCAAAAACTTGGCATCCGCTAAACGCTAAACGAACTAATTTGAGATTTTCTACTAGAAGTTACATTCTGTTCATCATTTACAAAGTTGCACAAGAACTGGAAACGTTCATTTCTCACTAAAATTGTCCACACCTAATACTAATTTTATCATGAAATATTTTAAAAGTGAAGACCATTCTGCTTCTTTAATTTTAGAATTGCAAATCGATTGTTTTAAATGACGATTGTAAAAGTGTTCCACTCTAAACACTAACTACGACTTTAACATTTAACAAGCAAACTGAGTATTGTCGAAGCAATGCATGTCGCTTACCGACCCACGAGATAGTACCCTGTAATGATGTAGGAATTTTTCAAAAATAGTTACAATGAAGTTGACCTCACAGACCTGAAACTCATACTTGTCCAAAATAAATCGAAGTTTGATATAAGCGTGACAATTTTCACAGATTCACAGATAAACTCTACTCCCGAACATAATTTGTGAAACGTGCAGTTGGGCGCGTGTGATGCTAGTTACGGTTCGTCTTGTAATTCCGTTGTTATTTTATTTTGTTTTGTTTCAGAACGTGGCATTACTTAGTTGGACTGACCAGGATTTACATAGCCTATGTTTCGTAGAATTTTAGGTTGAACTATCATACAGTTGATATTCCAGTAATTCATTTGTTGTTTTGAAGATATTTGCATTATTAGAACTAGCGGGTATCTTACCGGAAGTAAAGTGGGAATATCAGCTTGATATGCTACTGTTTGGCTCCTAAACTATAAATTCACTTATATGACCACTTCTGGTAAATGAAGCATAAAAACACAGATGAAAATATGAAATGATATATACAAAATAACTGAAGTATTGAAAATCATATTTCAGATTTCCATGTACAAATGAGGAACCAAGACATGTACCTAGTCTTAATTGGTCCTACGACAGTATCAATCGATGTGGCGGATACAACATGTCGGTGTTTAGGAGGGAATCTCATTAGCTTGGACACTAATGAGAAATTCGATTATTTCAGTCGATACCTTGAAATCTACATGACAGGTATGTCACCGCCTGTCAGTAACGTATGGCAATCCTATTGTTAGTGACTAACGTAATTCCCATACAAGTACTTATTATATCTAACATGTCCAAGCTAAGTGTGTAGATTCAGTTTGAGTAAATACTTTTTTTTTTACTCAAGGAGTCTATTCCCACAAACCGTTTATTGATATATTGTTTTAGAACCTGGTTTGTACGTGTGCATTGCCATAGGAGGCGTGGAATAATGCAACGTGTCGATATTTCTTATTTCGATGATAGATTGAAATAAATACGCAGCTTATGATGTGCAGAATTGTCCGATATGTTACTTCTATTTATTCAGGTTTCTAGTCCCAGTAATACACATAATTTAGATGGGTTTGTTATAAACTTATTACACAATTGGCCTTCACTCTGAGAATTATATCGATTAGATTATCAACAATATTACAACAAACTAAGCGCTAAATATATTACTGCATCTTAAATGTCTAAAAACTCTCCGGTTTCTCAGATAATTAAAAAAAAAATTTTACGTACGTTTTAACCTATAATTTGCATTTCCTATATAGCAATACATTTTTTGTAATTAATTGACCGGGAAATTAATCTAAATCATCAGACTATCAACTAGATCTCCTACCACGCTGATACCAAGGTCCATGTTATCAGTCTCTGACCTTTTCCGAACAAAGAGTCCCCGTGTGTTCTCATTCTTACATCGTATATTCAACTGCCAAGATGCCTATATCAAAATACATGAACACATGATGTTGATATGCATTTTTATGTTCTAGTGATACCGATTTCCATCCAGCTCGAGTCATCGTTACCAAATTTATGTATCCAATATAGATTAAACGGAGGGGGAGGGGGGGGGGGGTTTAATTTCAGACAACTTGTATTGTAGTTTGACTAGTGTATATCCACGTGTGGTCAGATCATCTATTTGAGTCAATATGTCAATATGTGCTCTGGTCAGTTGTTATATAATAAGTATCATCGAGTACACCTGTATGATTAACTTATCTCTTGTCAGTAAAAACCGTAAAGAGTAAATACTTTTAAAAGTAACGGTTGTCTTTTTCATGAGTTAGCTATGTGTTTATAACGGAGATCCCCCTAACTGGTGTCACAATTAAAGTACTGATATAACTTTATATGTCTATAAATATTTCCCATGCTTTCAGCTGTACATAGGCGTACCACATAATGAAATAGTCTTTCACGACTTTCAAGTCTATTTTCACGGTGAATGCATAACGACTTGTGAAATTTCACAATAGCTTTACATTTCTGAAATGGTTGATACTTCTATGATAATAGATAACAGCTTAATTTGACGCCGCTGTTATAATTAATTCCTAAAGGCAACGTTGCATATTTAGAAAATACATGGTCGGTGTCTTAAAATATCAAGTATATTTTGGCAAGGGTGAAGAAAGACAAAAGTGGCTAGCCATTTCCGCGACATTGATTGTTATTCAGACTATTGAAACTTAAACAGTTTTGGTGTTAAATCTGTGTTTACCTGACATTGATGTTACGCTGAATTTTTCCGGACGGACGCCAAAATGATTGTTCCTCGCGGAAACAAAGTTCCAACTTCATCTGATATAACAGCGATTTTATGAATTTTCATAAATCAGCTTGTTCATTACAACATGTCAAATCGCTCATTTCAACAATTATTTATAATCCTGCTGTGTTCTGTGACTGCCGAATACAGCAAAAATTTACGTGTCATATTCCGACAATGGCAGCGCCAGTTGCAGGAAAAATCATTCTAGCTGATGCTGACAGTTATATCAGCAGATTAAAATCTTGATACATGTGACCCGATTTCAATCTACACTACGTTGATTATAAAACATTTTACATTCAATGTTATGTATCGGTAACAGCCATCACTCATTTCTAGATCTGACGGGTGGTGTCACTTGAAACGATTGCAAAAAGTGTTTGTGTCAATGCATTCTTATTTTCTCTATGTCGTAAGATACTTTCAAAGCTTCACTGATGAAAAGAGTTGACTGTATTCAGAAATCTGTTATGGAATCCTTGTCCGGCTGTTAAATACCTAGAGATACATTGTACGTAATGATCAAACAATATTGTTATTATTGCTGTGTTTTGGTTGCAGGTAATTTTCTTGATTTTCTATCATTTTTCCTTGTTTATTTCATATCGCCAGACTATGGTAAAGTGGCGATTGGTCTGAGTGCGGAAGATGTTGCCGGAGAGTGGATGTGGCCTAGTGGCACTTATCTAGACGAAAGCATCACGCCGTTCTGCAAATACGAACCAAATGGAGACCATTCACAAATCTATAAACAGCGCTGCACTCTCCTGGAGCATCCGTTTGGGTGTATGGACGACAGAAATTGTCCTAATGATATCTCGCACATCTACTTCGCTTGCGATTTCTTTTAAATAGTGTACATTTCTTCATGGAATATTCGGAATGCATTTTGATATCTACGTCCAGGTCCAAAGGGACGATTTTTCAATAAAATATTACTAAGATTCGTGTTAAAATCAACCAGTAAGTAACCATCGACATATTACACCGATGCTAAGCAAGCTTGGGAGCATGAAATACTGATGTTATAATGTACCTTTCGGACTACTTTTTTGGACATCACTCTCGGAAATCACCAATTTCATCTGAATTAAGCATGATTGCCACTCCTGAAGATTTTATTTTAAATTAGAAGTCGGGTATAAATGCAAAATTGCGGTTCTCTTCATCCCGCCCAAGTTGAGCTTGCAAAACGTCAATTTATACAAAATAAGATTATCCTAAGGATGTTTTACACGGAATTTAGAAAATGAGAAGCATTTTGAAGAAAATCTGCACGTTTCCTTGTTGTTAAGCAGCCAATAGGTAGCCTTTTGTTTGGATGTAGAATATGTCCCTGTTATATTCAGCATATTGTTGATTATGAAGGAAATAGGGACATATCAACAGAACTTTAATTCAAACTTCAGTTTGATGAAACAAGGGCAAAATAAGATTGACACTGAGACTCAAGAAATACAAGAATAAGACCAGGTGCTCCGGAAGGGTACTTTTCTACTTCATAAACGAAACCCGACATGTATAAATATTTGTCAATCCAGCTAAGTAATTTCCCATTCCCAAATGAGAACAAAGGAAACAACAACAAACCACCAGACATACTGACCAGCATTAAGGATGTCCAATTTTCTATTTCTTATGCAAATAGACTATGTTCTACTAAGATCATTTTGACGACTGAAAGTTCAACTTATCTTTAATAACAGCATGAAGACTGGGGAAAATAAACCAGCAAGAGTGAGAATAATGAAATACCTTGATTATGTTCATACAGTTTTATTGCTGTATTACATTACAAAATGGTACACAAATTTGTAGATATACAATTTCTATGTTTTTCAAAATTAAACTTTATCCTTCTTATTACTATGTAAATGATTGTAGGTGAAACAATGCTGTTAAATATGCTGTAAATTTAGGATGAAAATGACCTTTGACCCCGTAGTAAATACACTAGCGATTCTAGATCTTATCTCAAATTTCCGTTTTTACTTGGTCAGTCTAGCAATAAATCTTGAGGTCATTTTGAACCAAAAGCACCATGGAATTTGAGCAGCAGTATTATGGTAAGGATGCATGACATTTTCCCACCTATCTTCTGTGAGTTTTACAACTTTTTAACTCTTTCTTTTTCAAATGTTGCTGTTGGTTAGAGGAAGGCTGAACATTGTTGTAGATGTTCATACACAGATTCAAAAGTGAGATTCTTAGAAAAAATGGGGAAATAAAAGAAAAAGAAATCAGCATGACATACCAATATCAGTGTATGGTAAGTTATATCAAAATAATTTTTCTGGTGTTAGGAGAAATCTCATTCCTACTCCTAATCCTCTCTTTTAAAAATATCTTAATAAAAAAACTATTGTAAAAATGTGTTTATTGAAGCTGGCACATGTAGACTGATGCTTCTATCATCTAAAAGTTGTAATCAGTACATAATACATACTTATATAGTAATGAACTCATTCTACTCACCAGCAACATGAACTTCATTATCAACACAGAAAAGTAGATAAATAGCTTGTCACAGCAAGTCTATTCAAATTATCCAAATGAAAGTTTTGAAAACTTCTGTAAATGACAGAAGCAGCAATTTTACAAAATATCATTGTGAGCTCAGATGAACTAAAGAATTTAGGTCAAAATCACCAATACTAGAATAAGATGAGCTGACAATTATATGTTTTAGTTCTATCAGTTTCAAAGCAATCACTTTACAAAGAGCTTTTCTTTACCTCCTATACTACCTCAGTCCAAAAACTACTGAAATTCAACACGTTTCCTTGAAAACCTACCAAAGATATTCTTCTCATGATAAAATTACTAGAATGTTGCATGTTATGACTACCATAGATTCAAAATTCCATGATAATAAAAATATATACATAAAAATAATAAAATCATACCGTGATTATGTACAAGAAATGGAATTCAAAGAAAATATCACAGTCAACGGGAATGACTTCAATTAATTACTTCATTCCTAATAAACAATTCCAGTTCACAAATGCCTCCTTTCAGATCTGTATCAATTTGTTCATCTAAAAATTAACTTTAACACTATCTCAAATTGTTTATCGCAAAATGATTTTACAATATTTTCCATGTTTGAAGGAATATGAAAGAATTTAGTTTTGAAACTGACCATAATACATTGTTATGCAAAACAATGGAAAAACACTTTCAGAAATGGCAACAAAAATATCTGATAGTTATAAATGAATCAGGAATTTTTTTAAACACACCACTTGCATAAATAAAAAGTGATTTTAATGTATTTCTTGTGTTCTTCCAAAGGCAAGAGGAGCAATGGACTTGATAATCTTGATGAAATGTAGCAAATTATATTATAAACTAAGGTGCTGTAGTTTGTCTTTGAATTCTTCTATCACATCTTACTTTAAATTACTCTCACATTATCTACCGTTATATAAAATACTGTATAAATAATATTTACCTTAACTACATGGAAAAGTGCATTATTCCATATCAAGGCAATTGTTAATGATTGGACAATCTATGCCATAACATCATATCTCAGATCTATACAGATATTACACCTTGAAGAAGGCAAATCCGATATTCTGTTTAGAGGTACTTATAAATGGACGGACTATTAAAAAAGCTTCCTGAAAGCTCCTTGGCTTGTCAGCTTAGCACTCACATCTATACACTCTCCACCATTTTTCATATTTGGGAACGTTTCGATACAGATTGTACTTATCTTCAGAATATTTCATGTTTTTTTTCAATGTTAAAAGATCGGATTTGGTTTAATTTCCAGTTACACATGCACTTTCCATAAGAACGCTAAAAACTCCAAAAGGTAAACGAGACAGGGGACATACCTTTCCCTTGGACCAAACATTACACATTTAGGCAACTTTCAAATCAATACAAATGTTATGAAAAAGAAACCAAACCATTTCAAATTGTTGTTTTTGTGTTCAACTAATCTAAATTAACGGTTTTTAACTGCAATTATATATAATGCTTTCACTGACTAATAATACATCTTTCCCTAGATATAAAGTCTATTTCATGGAAGTCCTGGTCCAACAGGTGTTGATGGATATGATATAGAGCTCTCTCCAAATACGTTGGCATAGGAATTTTTCAGAAACTGTACATAATTTTGCATACTACGGTTAGTACTATGACTTTGCTCCAGCCGATCTTTGAGGTCATATAATCTTGAGTTAAACTTTCTCTCATTCTGAAAAAGAAAAGACCTGTTATAATATGGAAAAATGGACATACAAAATGTTATATATGAAATAAATGTTTATACATCCTTCGATTGTGAAGTTTTTCCTTTTTTTTTTTTTTTTTTTTTTTTACTTTTCTTTATTCTTTTAGCTCAATAAATCCCTTGGAAATCAGTCTGCTTGTATCTTTTCAATTTTCACATTTTCCAAAAAAAGAACTTTATATTCATAAATGTATTTCAGTTTCAAGTTTATTTGCTTCCGCATCAGTGATAAACAAATATTAACATAGATCAATCGTTCTTACCTCTTCTTTTTCTCGTTTTAGTCGAGCAATTTCTGCTCTACACTGACTAATCTGTGATTCCAGGTCAGTAATTCTTGTTTGGTATGTACGCTCCTAAAAAATAATAACAATGAAAAAAAAAGAGATTACTACTTGATTTCATTAACTAATATCATTTGATAATTCCATTATATTCCAATTTCAACTAAAAAACTTGGATAACTTCATTACTGAAACTGTCAAAATAGCTTATGATTAGTTTTTGTACTTTTGCATTACACATATATAATTAGGGAATACTAGAACTTGACATACATTGCAAAGGCAGTAAAGTGCAAATCACTGGTATAAATTAAGACAAATGTTACAGTGACAATGATGAATACTTGCGGGCCCTGACATCAGTACACTGTATGATCAATGTATACAACAAGTTTCATTATCCAACTTACAATGCAAATAAGTTATGCTCTGGAAAAGATTTTTCCAATGAAGGGCAATAACTCTTTAATTGAGGGGATCAAGGGTCCTGAATTTGGTACATAGCAGGTTGTCTTAGTATGATCAATGCATACAATTAAGTTTCATGATTCTTACTTAAATGAGGGGAAAAATCATGCTTCGGGCAAGAAATTTTCAACAAAGGGCAATAACTCTGTAATTAAGGGGTTGGGGGCTCTGAATTGGGTACACTGTATATTGTCTTTGTATGATCCATGTAAAGACAAAGTTTCCTCATCCTAGTGCATACCCAAGCAAAGTTATGCTGCGAACACTAAATTTTAACAAAGGGCAGTTACTCTGTAATTAATGACACATTTATGCAGTATGACCAATGCATACACCAAGTTTCATGACCATTGCTCAACTTTGTGCAAAGTTGTGCTCCCGACACAAAGGACAGACTGAAAGGCACATAGATGGACAGACAAGGCTGTGACTCTATGCTCCCCGAAAATTTTACGGGGAAGCTAGACTGCAGTAGAATGACATATCACACAACATATCCACATACCTTCTGTGAAGCCTTGTCTCTACTCTGATCATTTTGACGTCTGATGTCTGACAAAGCATTCTCCAATTGTCGGGTCAGACTGGCATTCTCCCGAGTCTTCTCTTCGAGGCGTAACTTAAATCATAGAATAGATAAATTGAGATATTTTGCCAATTTGATGATTTCTACTTCGCTATTTTCTCAGTTAACTTTCAATCTAGAGGAAACAACCATGACCACATCAGTTAATGGGGGAAATGCTTCTATTGTGAATACATGATCTATAAAGCTTTGGTAATCAAGAGAGCTATAAAGTCTAGATTCCAACAACAATAAACGTTCAGTAACAAAATGCATGCACTATCTGCAAAATTTAAGTGAGTTTCTTCTTCCATGTCATAATGTTTCAAAGTTCTGACATAATAACTCACATTTTGTTGATGAGCAGCCTCCTCTGCTTTAGCTACAGCAGTCATCATTTCTCGACAGTGGTCTTCTGCATCATGCAGCTTCCTGTTACACATACACAATATAAATATTCGTACAGGGAAATTCTGTACATAAATATAAAAACCTCTAACATCTTGACATTGTGTCAGTAAAGAAGAATGTAGAGAAATTTCTCTTTTTCCCAACACAAGACATTTTCCTTCTCCTTTTTATGAATCTAAATCTGATGCTGAACTAAGTTGAATTGTGGCTTGTATTCAATTTTGGTTATGGGGTTGTAAATTATGTCTCACATACTTAAGACTTGGACATAGTTAGGGACATTACAATGGAGACAACATTGCTTAAAAGTTGCTTTAACATTTACCTCACACTTCAAAATGGTCTTAATGTATTAGCACTATTCTAAATGCTATTTGAAAAGAATCAATGAGGTATGCTTCTCACCTTTCCAAGGTCTCAACTTTTCCTTGAAGGAGTCGATTGTCATCCTGCATATCATGACATTTAGACCGCATCTGTTCCAGCGAGTCTGAGACATGCTCCACCTGACAAACAACAGGTTAGAAAATTTACACAAAAGTAAATCTCACTAGGAGTAATTAACATACATCATCTACAACTAAAATATTTGTTTACTTATAAAGCATGTTATTTGCCTTAACTTAGCTTTATAAATCTTGGTGTTCTTTAAAGTATTTCTGATCAAAGTATAAAATCTACAGTGTAGAATCGTTAATTTTCAAGAAGAATTTATTCTCATTGATTTTGTGAGTACACCGAATCCATAAATTCAAATGTCCACCAACTTTTAGAATAATGATGAACAAATTGAATTCAGTTTTGTTAATCAAGTCTAAAATTTTCCCCCACCAAATTCAGCCTCACAAAAAAAGTATGGAATGCTTTGAAAGTTTATCGTCTAGAAAAGATTAAATACGACAGCTACACAAAAAAAACATTTCTCTCTTAAAACGTAAGTGGGGCAAATGTTTCCAGACAAAAAGCCTCAAATTCTCGATGAATTATCAATGACTGTGATTATGATCAGATGTTCAAATATAATCAACAAGAATAAATGATAAGTGGATCCCTAAAATTGATATAATATGCAAACATTCTGATTAATAACTGTTAGAAATGACAAACTCTAACTACCAAGAATACATAATGCTTGTTAAGTACACATCATTACAACTGATTTAAATAAAATTTCCATGAGACACTGAAATATTTCTAAAAAAAGTTTTCAGACACATCAAATTACAGTGTAGCAATCCCTTTAGCAATTTACAAAATCACTCTGCTATGGCACCATAGACCAACCTTGATTGTAATCCTGAATACATCTAATTATTATCCAGTATGACTCCAACAGTTTTGAAGATATTTACTGCCAAATTCTCCACCAGAAATCAAAGTCACTAACACATGAATTCATTATCTAGCAGTTTCCTCAATAATAAGAGTATTACAGCAGTATAATTTATAGTTTCTAAGACTCAGAGATATTGATTGTGTAATTCTTCTTGACCAGATGGAGAGCCTGTTTCATTATTCCCGGCAAATTTTATTCACAGAGGAAAGTCATCGCATTACGTGTTCTTGCACTACACAGACTAAATCAAAATCTATCATGCAAGCAAAAACTGCAAAATGTTCATTTTCTAGACATTTCTATGTCAACACTATACATACTATTGCAACTAATATTGCATCATATTGAAAGTCTGTAGTAATTAATTTATAAAATTTGGAGTCTATTCCAATGATTTTCATAAACCATTACCCAGCTGAAACTGATGAGAACTTTCAGTCAACTTTCATGACATTACAAAAAAGGAATTAGATGTGTGTAAACTTTGATTAGATTATGGACTTTTTCATTAAAGAAAATGAGTTAGGAAAAACTGGAGGTAAAAATGGGAAGACAACTCCACTCTGTATCATGTTACCTTGTCTGTAGTAAGCTCAGACTGAAAATGATGGCATAGGACACATGATATCATCATTTCTAACTGACACTCTTTTTACATTTTGTTATTAATGGAAAAATTAGCATAACATCCACATAAAGTGAAAATTCCTTTTCATGTTTTGTTAGGTACAGATAGTTAAAATCATACATGTATATCAACTCATACAAACTTAACACAATACTGCACTCCTTATCATAGTGATCTACAGAGACACTTTAAATATACGAAGACGATATAGTCATTGCAGCCAATAAAGAATATAGAGTTATCTCCCATCAGCAGGGTATTTCATCACAATTCAGTATTAATTTACCAAAATCCTCATAATGACATTGCTCATACATTTAATAAACTGTGCTTAAATTAGAAGTGTTAGGTGCATTTATTGTTGAAATTTTGTTTATTGATTCAATAAAATTGTAATAGACACATTCTCAACAATTCAAGAACTTCTCCATAATATTCATAACAATTTATTGTATAAGGGTTCAGTGAACTCCCTACAAAATCCCAAGAAATCCTTATCACCTGCCAGAATATATACTAACAGTACCACATTTTCTTTCCTTTTCTCTCTCTCTCTTGATTTCCTTCATTTTTATTCACAATGAAAAGGTGGAAAATGTATGCAAGGATTTTTGGACTGCAAGATTGTGTCACACACAACTGCTAGTAGGATTTAATAGAACGATGATCATGTAAGTTGATGTGGGAGAAGTTAGTATTCTAGAAGATGTTGGTGTTAAAATCCTCCAATATGTCTGATAAAACTGTTTTTGTGTGAAAATATATACTAATCATAATCACAGTCTATGTATAGTCTAATCTAAAGCTCCCAAATATCCCGACCCAGAATTCCTAAACAGGAAAGTTCCCCCCAATCCCAACCCCAATCCTCCAGTTAGTTGCATGAGTATCAAAAGTCATTACATTCATCTGGTATCAAAAAAGCTATGTTAAGCCTACCTTGGCAGTTAACTCTGTGATGAGTTTGGTGTTTTCAGTGTTTTTCCGTTCATACATGATGATCCGTTCATTTGCATCATGGAGTTTAAGTTCTGTAGATTTGAGCATGTCTGGAAGTGGCTCCAGTTCCTGTAGACGGTTATGGAGTCTGGCCTTCACCTGTTCACAGCATACAATGTTCATTTACACTAAATAGATCAAACTCTATGTACACATTAACAATTCTTTACTATACCAACTTGGTGAATAGTAAAAACAGTTACCCACTGCTTATAAAATTAGCCATGAAGTTTGATACATATTTATGTAAAAACAGGAGGATAGTATGGTATTGAGAAGAGAAGACAGATTTCCTGGTAAGACTTATAAGACTGAGGAGACAACAGAAAGATGACATTCAAATATTGCAAAGCTGAGATCCTCGGACTAGCCACACTAGCTTGAGATGATACATAGTAAAGTTAAACATCTGGCATAGAATCAGCACAGCCATACAAAGGCGACAAGACAATAGAGTAAACCATTCATATATGACAGCACTCTTCTATACAAGTTTTAAGTCATTAATAAGACAGGGAAAGCGCTATCATTTACTAAACCATTACTCATATATATACTATTTATCACTTGGGAGAACATGACAGCATAATCAATAGGTATTAACTTTCATAATATATAAATTTTTGTACAATAGTAGTGTATTAGGCAGAACAAGTTTTTTTAATTGAACCTCTGAGATGAGTAAGTTTTTTACAATATAGGTAGATGCATGCAATATTCAGTGTTGATAACATATAACATGTATGACATGTCTGACATTGATCCTCCACCAATTAGTAAGACATTGTTTGTAACCTTACACATTGAGTGGATACATTCTGTGCACTAGAATCTCATCATTTTTGTTTTATATCCAAGAAATCATGTCTACATTACTTTTAAAAGAATACTTGAAGTAATTCTGACCTTGACCTTGACCTTTGATCTCAATTATGATGATCAAAATTATTTTGTGAACTTTCCCTACAACAAGAATCGACTCAGATACTTACTTGGTCCTTATATACATGCATGCAACCCCACTAACAAACAAAAAGTAAATGGTCCAATTTGTGTAAGAAGTGTAACAAACAAGATGGAAACATCACTTGACAAAAAAATGTCTTAAACATATGCAGCATTTCACATCATGAACACATCTATTTAAAAAACAAAAACAAAAAACAAAACAAAAAAACTGAGAGGCAATGAAATTTGCTCGATGTGGATAAAAAAAACTTTGGAAAAAAAATTGCTTTCATGAAGTCTTAAACAATTTCTGATAGTTAAAGTGATAAACTGGAAAGCTGAAAGTGGGATGCTGAACACCACATATATTTGGACTTGCTGAAATATGCAGTCCAAGCTGTTGCCATGCTCCTTTTAACAACACCAGTGAGAGATCTTGAAGCAGAGTCAGTGAGTCTTGATGAGGAACTCAAACTTCCCTACACACTGTGAAATGAGTTGACAATGAATATCAGAAAATGCAATGTCAAATCTTATCCATAGGACAAAAGGTGATGAAATGCAAGATACACGGTGACTGACCATTCCATTGTGAACATACAGACTTACCTGGGGAGGGCTCTGTCCCATCCCCTCATACCCATACCCAGACTGGGGCCAAGTGCCTGAAGGGGGTTGTGTGTAATACCCTCCTCCCATCCCAGCATGTGTTCCTGGTTGTGACTGATATGGGCCTCCACCAACCACTGATGTTTGGGTCCCAGGATGGGATGAATGATATGATCCCCCACCCCCCTGAGGTTGTGAAACACCAGGACGCTGCTGAGAGATAGGGTAATATGGAGCCCCACCCTCAGGCACTGGTCCAGACGCTGTGATAAAGGCTGGTGTAGCAGAAGGCACAGACTGATGGAAATAATCCAAAAATTTAGTCAAGTAGTATACCCTGATGAGAAAAACTTTGATTGAAGAATTGTCACGGGAGATGAAACAGAATTCTTAGAATATGCAGAGATAATTTGATAAAATCTTAAGAAGAAAAACCAATAAAAGAATTATTTAGGGAAAAAAAAAAGAACAAAAACACAACAAAAGTTAGATGGCTAACTTGATAAGGTCATAATCATTTGTACATTCATAATTGCAGTAAATTATACTTATATCTTGCAGGAAAGCTAAGTATTTATGACCCCTGCAATATTGAGGAGACCTATGATATGTGTAAATAATATAGAGGAATATTATAATTCATTGTGATGGATTAATAATACAATTAATTACCTATCTATTGAAAACAACACAAACAGCAGCTATTATTACTTATCATTAAACTGTTTAAAAAAAGAAGAGATTGAAACTGATTTCAAGGATGTCAATCTACCATTGCTTTGTTTATACAAATTTTACAACCCAGAGAAATCTGTAAAAAGAATGATGTTGAGTGTTAATCTCCTTTCCCAGGCAACAACTGCAGATACAGGAAATGTTTCATCCATTTCTTAAACATTTCTTGCCTCTGTTGTCTGGAGCAAATTGTTAATAAAATATGTGTAAATGTTAACTACAGGCATGCATGAACTACAACACAACATTGATGAGTTAGTGACACACATTCTACAGGGACTAGGAAGCTTATGTCTTAACTCAGGCAAACAAACACAATGTTATGTTTATAGAAAACTAAAGTATCATGTTCTTTTGATATTTGCCTTCATTAAAACACTTACAAGTAAAATATACACACAAGGATTTTGTTTCAACAGGGCAACAGTACTAGACAGTGTTTTACTGTCACTAGCGGTCTGGGGAGAGTTTTACATTGGTCCAATGAAACTGAAGGATCAAAATTCAGTCTTTTTTTTTTTCTTTTTCATTGACACAACATGTGGATGACAGTATTTTATGACTGTAAATAACACCATGCAGAAACAGTTAAATTGAATTTTACAGAGATTTCCAATATTGACTGATAACATATACTGTATTTATATCCCTTGCCTTTTCTAATTCATATTCTCCATCTTGCTGCATAAGCTCCGATTCTTTAACAGTTTCTTCCAAACGTACCATTGTGTCATCTGCTTCAATCCGACAGCGGTTCATCTGGAAAATAAGCATCTGGCTAACACAGACTGCCATTCAAGCATCTGGCTGACAGACTGCCATTCAAGCACCTGGCTGATGCCTACTAATTCATGCTTTTTCAATTGCATGTTTGAACCAAATGGCAAGCATGCATATCAAATTGAAATGATACATGGAGATTATATTGTGTATTTTAGAAAATTACGAAAGACACATGCATAAACTAGTTAAGTCTAGCTGTTATCTTCTGTTCATACCAGGAAAAAAATTGTTGAGAAAATTTGAACAGGATAGATCGTATTCTGTTGATATATTGAAATGAGATCTGTTATGACTCATTAAATTCAAAATTCTTAGTGTGATTTTTTTAGATCAAGTTTTTTTTTCAAATTAAAAAAAAAAGTTCATTTATCTTCAAAAATTATATTTAAAAACCTGTTCACACTACACATGTATCATAAAGATTTTTCTATGCATATTCTTTGTCAGTTTTGGAATAGTTTATTTGTATTTGGCATTTAGATTTAGAAGTAAAAAAAGAATTTGGAAAGAAATAACAGAAATTAAAAGTGATTTTTAATAAAGTGAAGAAAAAGATTTTAAACTGTGAACATATGGGGGTAGTGTATATATAAAATTATCCAACATTTACTGTCTTGAATTACATGTGATAGCACAGAGTGTTTAAATTGAGGCAGAGGATGGATGATGTGATGACCTGTAAGTGTGTACATATATATACAGTGCTATACTTCTGCACAGGAATAATCACACAACAACCAGTGTGACACAATATCGAACAACTCTGTGTGATTCTGTGACACAAAATTAGATAATCAATGTAGAAGTACCTGTTGTTGACTGTCTTGGGACATGAGAGGAGTTGACACAGTAACCTTGGACACAGTTGGGGGAGGTAACTTACTGATGGAAATACCCTGTTACCATGGTTACGGATCACACAAAAATGGGGAACAAAGGAAGGGAATAAATTATTAATCTATGACAGGAGATATTCAGGATAACAATTCAAAATTATTTATCTGTGAACCTAATGAAACAGATCTGTGAAAATTGAAGTTTCAAATAAGACGTATACATAAAAAAAAAAAAAAATCCAATGAATAAACCAGGTCATGATATGTTTTTTTTATCCAAATATATTTCAGACAATCATTGATCTCTAAATACTTGATAATAAATTGAAACAAAACATAAATTGACAAATTTTAGAATCCTGAATGGTGTAAAACAGACAATGTTATGACTGGTGATGGACCTTTAGTACAAACCCAGTGCATATCTACAAGGGAACTACTACATAATACCCAGTGAGTATAAGCCACTCGCCAGTGAACTCTCTGTCACGGCACACATTGAAATGATGTGGGAAAGCTAAACAATAGCCAAGAAATAACTCATTCATGAACCAATATTTCAGATTATATTCAATAAACTTTTGATATCAAATTTAGAGTTTCTCTGTTACTAAATAGCAACCTAAAATGCACTAATTAAAAATGTAATCCAATTGCAATAGATATAAGGAAAATATTCAATCAAATAAATTTTTCATTTTAATCATAGCTTTTTTATCTCCTGAATATATCCATCAAATTTGTAAGAGAAAAAAATCTTTTAAAAAATAGGCTGTCAAATGAAAAAGATAATACAGAACAGCCTGAATGACACATAAAATGTCTGTTAAACTACATTTACAAGAAAAAAATCTACATAGCTTAGAATCTCTTGACTTTTAGGTTAAAGTGAGCACAAGACACAGTAAAATACAACCAACAAAGAGTCTAGAGATTCCCAGCTGCTGTGTTGACTGTACTAATGCTAACTGATCATGGTAAAGGTGAGGTAAGGAACAATGAATCCATAGGTGACTCACACGTCACATACCTGAGTTTTATACTCATCCACCAGGTTTTCGTAATGTTTCAGATTACCACGCAGTTGAACCAGCTCTTCATCTGCTGCACGGAACTTTTCCTCTATTGTAGTTATAGAGGTCTGCCGAGATCAACCACAAAACAGTTTTAACCACTTGCTATACGATCATTTCTCTGAACAACTATAAAGGTTATTTATATATTCATATTTGTCTGATGAAGGTAACAGAGTATAGTTAATGTATGCTTACTTTGCAATTTAAGAACAATTTTCACAATTGAACAGAAACAATTGTTTTACACAGAATACAGAAGGCTTCAAAGAATATCTTTTTGCCTTGGGAAAAATTCCATGATCATGAAATAAACAATAGTGTAGATAAAAGAAGATTATTGAATTTTCTGTACTTATCTTATTACCATACCTATAATTTGTCTATTACCTAGTCTCCCATCATTTTTTATTAACTGGAACTCTTCATTAGAAATAATTGACAGACCCACTTGTGTTGATTCACCAAGATTAAGACAGAGATTATATATATACCTTGAGGCGTTCATTCTCTATCTTGAGAGCGGACACTTGGCCCTGTTTGTCCTGTAGCTCAGCTGTCGTGTTTTCCTGGTGGATCTTTGTATTGTTCTCTACACGGTCCATCAGGGTCTCTAGCTCCCCAAGTCTCCTGCAACATAACACAATATCACACTGTACACATATAACACTTGTTCTCTAAACAATCTATCAGGGTTTCCAGCTCCCCCAGTCTCTGTAACATCATAACACAATATCACACTGTACACATATAACACTTGTTCTCCAAACAATCTATAACGGTTTCCAGCTCCTCCAGTCTCTGTAACATCATAACACAATATCACACTGTACACATATAACACTTGTTCTCTGAACAATCTATCAGAATTTCCAGCTCCCCCAGTCTCTGTAACATCATAACACAACGCCACCCTGTACACACATAACACTTGTTCTCTACATGATCAATCAGGGTATCCAGCTCCCCCAGTCTCTGTAACATCATAACACAATACCACACTGTACACATATAACACTTGTTCTCCAAACAATCTATAACGGTTTCCAGCTCCTCCAGTCTCTGTAACATCATAACACAATATCACACTGTACACACATAACACTTGCTCTCTAAACAATCTATCAGAGTTTCCAGCTCCCCCAGTCTCTGTAACATCATAACACAATATCACACTGTACACATATAACACTTGTTCTCTACATGATCCATCAGGGTATCCAGCTCCCCCAGTCTCTGTAACATCATAACACAATACCACACTGTACACATATAACACTTGTTCTCCAAACAATCTATAACGGTTTCCAGCTCCTCCAGTCTCTGTAACATCATAACACAATATCACACTGTACACACATAACACTTGCTCTCTAAACAATCTATCAGGGTTTCCAGCTCCCCCAGTCTCTGTAACATCATAACACAATACCACACTGTACACATATAACACTTGTTCTCTAAACAATCTATCAGGGTTTCCAGCTCCCCCAGTCTCTGTAACATCATAACACAATATCACACTGTACACACATAACACTTGTTCTCTAAACAATATATCAGGGTTTCCAGCTCCCCAGTCTCTGTAACATCATAACACAATATCCCACTGTACACACATAACACTTGTTCTCTAAACAATCTATCAGAATTTCCAGCTCCCCTAGTCTCTGTAACATCATAACACAATACCACACTGTACACACATAACACTTGTTCTCTAAACAATCTATCAGGGTTTCCAGCTCCCCCAGTCTCTCTAAGATCATAACACAATATCACACTGTACACACATAACATCAAATGCATAACACACCAATCTACATGTATTAATACTGATTTTCACACTTAGACATAATACACAACACACTAAGTACTTGTCTGGACATCTGCATGTTTCATACATACAAAGTATATAACTGTAAATGAACACATTTACTCAACACAGATATCTGACTGGACATAAGAATGGTTTCATACACATAAGCAGAGCACATAACCGAACATATTTCCAAAACACATGCACCTGACTGAACATAGAAGGGTCAATACACATGTATACCAGTAATCACATCTACCACACAAGCTGTACACTTCCATTTCCACAGAATATTTGTTCACAGCACTCTACATTGTAAATACAAAAACCAAAGACACTGGTAATGTAGTAATTATATAAAAATATAATTATCATAACCCAACTTTTGTTCTAACCATTCATAACAAAACTTTCATCATAAAAAAATATTTCATAAAAGTTACGCAAACTCCATGAAATTACCAAATTAAATCATTTTAAGACTTTTGAAACTGAATCAGATTGACACAAAACTATGAAAGAGATATAACAGCTCATTTATTTTATCATTAGGAAGGAACTTAAAAGACAAAGCATAAGCAATTTGGTTTGCAATTCTTGTCAAAAAGGTTTCACCAGGAATGAACCATACAGTAAATTGATGCAAGAGAAAATATTACATTTTTTTATGGAATTTTGACATTTTAGATATTAAATTATACATATAGAATGAACATATCAGTATGCTTTGCAAAATGTTTGTACTTCAGAACAAGTCAAATACAAGTTATATTATATATAATTCTAATTTGTTGAAGGTATAATGTGGTAAATAGTGAGTGGAGCTGAAAAATGAATTATAATTTTTATTCTTTTTTTATCAATGATATTAATTGGTACACATTTAACATATATACAACATGATAATTATATCACCGTTTTACTAACTGATCAAGGAGACCACAACAGACACTCATACCAGAAATATAGTTTCTTTAAAATGCATTATTCATGCATGGGATAAAATATAAATAATATGAAAAAGGAAATCAATGGTATGTAATATTCACAAAACCTAGTTCTACAGTAAGACTAGAGGAAAGAGTTTTAGGTGAGAGAAATTAGTACTGAATCAAGTCCTTGGGTTATGGAGAATCTGCAAGAATTTTATGCCAGGAGAATATTTCCGACTAATATAAGGACATAAATAACAGGTATGGGAGATAAATATACAATATATCAGATGTTACACTGTGTGTACTTACACGGAAAAATACTACCAAAATATACAACACCCAAATGACAAAGAAAAAATACGCTATGATTTAATCAATAAAGCACTGATTATATATAATACTTGAGACTTCTTATTAAATATTCTGCTTTAAAAGTGAGAAACATTTAAAGCCGTTTGTACATTTACATATAGCAGGGTAGAACTATAGACAAATTGCACCAGAAAAAGACACATAACACCAGAGATGATGATTGAAAAATGTCTCCGACAGTGATAACTTAACAGACAAACTGTGTTTCCACATGCATTATCACCAGTGAAAAATGTGAAGGTACCGAGTGTGTAGGATGTGAAATGGTTATTGAAGAAAAATTCATCCAAAACATCATTTAGATTGTTTTTTTTTTATATAACCAATTACCAAAAAAGTAAAAAAAATTGAGGATAACTGTCCGGTATAAATACAAGTATTAAGTAGTTAATATATATCTATATATATATCAAGATTCCAGCACAATAGCTATCATTCTATTCCTCCATGTGTTATAATGTGAATATCTATGGGACACAGGAACTACAGGTTGCATCACTCACTTTGTACCATGCTTAACCTCAGACCTGTGGAATGTTAATGATGAATTAGACAGAAAACATCACGATATTGATGGTAACAGTAAAAACCACATCATTACACAACATATATTTTGCTTTATCATAATGTAACTGGGTGGCTGTGTTTAATTGTGTACAAACAGGTTAAGTTCTCCCTAACTCAACCAGATACTATTCCCAAACATACATTATTAAGGTAGAACTTACGCTTTTCACTGTGTTGCCAGGTAGAGAAATAGTTGGGAATTTTTATACACACCGATAACTGACAATGTAGCAAAACTGTTCACCAGGCAGAGCAACCAGAACCAAGCTATTGTACATTTACTACAAAGCAAAATGTTAGCATCCTTCAAAGCGACATTTTATTACAAATTTTTGTGTGTTTTTGTTTCTTTTGACAGCTGTTTGTAGACTCATTCAGCAACAATCAATATTCCTCGGATGCAATGAAAACTGGACATTTGTTATTACTTAGAAAGCCTTGTTGCTGGTAAGGAGATGTTCTCCCATCAGTACTGGCAATGGCTTATTATAAAGATCTAGATTATGTGCACAACACTTGCACTTGTAGAAAATATACTATGCTTTGAAGTTTGTGTTAAAATATATGCCTGTTGCTGCATTAGGCAATAATAGTGTTAAGAAAGCAACTTTTTCAAACTGCAGTGAGATTAGTAAGCCCAGTGTTAAGTTGGACACAATTAATTAGTTAACCCATATTACAAGTGACATTGTTAGTTGTATATAAATCTTTGATTAGTAAAATCCTAACACTTAATATATAAGCATTAAATTATGATGTAATTGGATATGCTTAGCGATTCTCTAAATTTTTTCACAACAACTATATCAACAATTGTTTATAGAATTCAGGAGCGATATATCTGTTCATTGATCAGCTTAGTTTTTATTCTATGTATTTGAGAAATCTGTTGAATTAGTTTGCAGGTTTAGTTACACATCTGTATGATATTTATGACATGCTCTTACAGATCTTAGGACAGACAATATAAAGTATCATGGAACACACAGATAAGTGCAAAAACGGGGTCTCTTTCAGTCATGTCAGCATTATACACGAAATAGGGATAAAATTGATAGCGTGCCACCGTAAACTTACGTGGATAAAGCAGAATTTTCTGCCAGAATCTGGGATTTCTCCTTAGAAAGTTTATCGTATCTTGGACCCATCTGGTCGAGCTGAGTTCGCAAATCCTCGAGCTGCGACTCACGCTCCATCAATTGAGTATTAAGCTGTTCGAGAGCATCCTCACTTCGCATTGCTCTCTGCTTCTGTACTCTGTAGACGGATGACAAAACAGGTAAAAATACACCTGAAAAGGTCTATTACACCCTAAATGTTATCTAGATTTATCAAATGAAATTTCCAGTTATATATTCAATAAATATGTTTTTATAAAATTCTTGTTTTATGTATCATTATCATTAGGTAGAACTTAATATAACTATATCTTGTTTAGAAAGTTCCACAAAGTCATCTTAATATAAACTACATTTTTAACTGTTTCCATAAACAAATAGGTTTATTTATATCCTTTTTTTCTCACTTTTCACATATAAAAAAATCCTGATTTATAATAAGTAATTAACTTCCAAACCTTGACAATAGATCCACATGGTTATTGGCCGAAATTGCGAATGTGTTAGAATAATGACTTAATTCCAAATGCCTCTCATGCAATATTGTTTACATTAAATCTAATACTTCTAATACCATATACCATACCCTATAAGATAAAGAGATGCTGACACCAAATATCTAAATTATACATAATAAACTATACATATATTGTATCAGATTCAAAGAAACCAAGACACCATGAAAGAGTTTCTACTACCCAAAAAATAGTCTCTAATTAAAAACTAATTTTTTCTAAACCATCAAGTTTTACTGTGTATTTTATTTTCCTGCAAAAACTTTTCATTGAACAGATGACTGAAAAGTTCACAAAAAAAAAAAAAAAATAGAGAAATTCAACTAGGAAGTCTTATTAAAGTATTTGCAATTCAATTCCAAGCATGCTACTAATTCAACATCTGCAAGCTTTCAGCCAAATAATTCCATGCAAAATCACTTCATACTGCGTTAACACAGCAGATCTCCACGTAAATGTCATGCAACCATTTTCAAATCACAAACAAAATGATTCTGATATTCTAAATTTATTCTATAATCAGTGATCTATCCTAATGCTAATCTACACGACTTCTTTTAAAAATTATAACAAAAACAATAAAAGTGTAAAATTACCTTTTTTTTTTAAATTTCATAACCAGAAAAGCTCTCTGTCTATTTCATTTTCCAATATCAAAGTTAGAAAAAAAAATTGAATAAGAATTTTCAAATTTTCAAATACTACAGAATTTTTTCATGCAAATTGATTTATTGTGTATTATTTCCAGACTAAACCAAACAAAAGAAAAACTACACTAGATAGATTTACTGATATACAACTACATAACACAACCAATGTTGAATCTAGCAACAAACATAGTTTTATTCTGAAGAAAGGAAGTCATTCTTTTTCAATGTTAGGCTCTGTGAAGGCAGAAACAAAGGTCAAGGAAGTGATAAGGGCAGGAAAACAACAACAACAACAAACTGGTGAAGTTAAGTTGGGGAAACAGTCAACACTAGCACAGCTCAATCTATGTTACAGCCAGACTTTACATCTATTTGTACCTGGTGAATCAAGCTTTTGGTTACTTTAGGTAATCTTTTGTATCGCAGGAACATGTTTTCTATCAATTCCAACTAATTAAGTGATTTTGTGATGTATTAAAGATCTCCTGTAAACAAAAAATCAAACCTTGTGGCCTTTTTCAGGGCCTCCTTGTCACGGTCTGCCTTCTCCTTGGCATTGGCCAGGAGCTCAGTCAAATGTTCTATTTCTATCTTATCCTGGGCCTTTGATCCATCGAGTGTCTGAAAAAAAACAACACTCTCTTTCAAGCCATATACAGCATTTCAGTGATAAACATTTAGCATAAAATTATAACATATAACTATAACTATAATTTAGATAAATACTGACTCAGTAGTATATATAACATTTCATGGCTTTCTGGAAAATGTATACATGTATGCAGAACATATTCAGAGTGTGTTATTATCATTTAATGTTCATCTCAGTTTTGTATCCTAAAGGAACTTACAAAATTGTATAACATAGTAAGCAGTAAGGTAGCTAACCTCAGTAGCTAACCTCAGTAGCTAATCTCAGTAGCTAACCTCAGTAGCCCTCAGTAGCTAATCTCAGTACCTAATCTCAGTAGCTAACCCCAACAGCAACCTCAGTAGCTAATCTCAAGTTTTTCCTTAGTAAGTCCACAATGAGCTAAAATGTAATACTTTCTACCTTACCCTCTGAGTATGTTTATCTCCTTCACAGAAATAAAACTTTAATTTAGTATATCTATCATATTAACTGAATCAACAGAAATCACTAACTCAAAGAAGGTTAAGATGTGTCCAACATCTTCATTAATACTTGGGTAAGATGTGTCCAACATCTTCATTAATACTTGGGTAAGATGTGTCCAACATTTTCAGTAATACTTGGGTAAGATGTGTCCAACATTTTCAGTAATACTTGGCTAAGATGTGTCCAACATTAATACTTGGGTAAGATGTGTCCAACATTTTCATCATTACTTGGGTAAGATGAATCCAACATTTTCAGTAATACTTGGGTAAGATGTGTCCAACATTTTCATTGTTACTTCATAATACATTGTAACTACAAAGGTCTTGCTGTAGTATTATTGCCTACCACCAATAAGGAAAATCTGTCTTAGTATGTTTAGGGTAAATGAAATGAAAATAATAAAAAAACTAAAGCAAAATCATGAAACAAATTTGAATAAAATTAAGTGTCAACTGGGAATAAATTAATCCATAAACAGGAAAAAGGTGCTCAGATTAAATAGTACATATATTTACAATCCAAGGTCAAACTTTCTACATAAATATATATCACTCCAGTCCACCAGATTTTGAAAATTCTGCAAAAAGACTTTTAACAAAACCTACATAACAATGAAATGATAAAGAGTGAAAAGCAGTGCTTTAATAAAAAATTTGCAAGCTCTACTCCAATAAAAAACATGCACTACAAAAAGACTGAAAAGCACTGCTCTCATCAAAAACATGCATTAAAACTATAACAAAATTAACAAAAACCAGGTCATGTACTAACTAGCTACTGTAATTAATAATCAAATCAGACACATCAAAATCTTATGTAACAAATATCAGCTTATGTAATCATTTCACTATCATTAAGACACTCTGCTATATCATCAACCTGATACAGATGGACATACCAATGTATAAGACACTTAGTCAATGTACCTACTTCATATTTTTGTTTGTTTATCTTCTTTAAAGTTAGAAATATTAATGATTTCATGTTTGTAAGGTAGCTGTAAATAATTGAAGGCATGTAAAAGTTTTTTGTTAAATGAACAAATAAATCCACTACAGCTGACCTTTAATTATAGGTGACCTACATGGATGAAGGAAAAAATAAATATTTTAAAGTAAGTTATCTCCCTTGACTCACCCTGATTTGCACTGCCATTCGATTGCAGTCAGCCTCTTTGGTTCTCAGCTGTTTTTGTAAATGTGCTCGGGTACTTTCTAGAGTAGACTGAAGTCCAGTAAGAGCTATATTCTCCTCCTAGGGCAAGACAGGAACAGGATAGAACAGGTAAGGGAAGAAATATCTGCACCAAGTCATTGTAACCAGTTGTCACTAATGTGTAACAAAGCACATCAAGCAACAATGGAGGCAATACATGTCTATTTTATATACAGCTTCATTAGCCTTTGGTTGGTTTGTTGATATATTCATAAGCAAATACTCTTTAAGTTATTTAAAGATTATGCTGAGTATAGGGAGTTAATAATAGTTAAGACAGTTAATTATCAAATAGCACATCAATTTACTTAACGACACGGTCTAAACAACCAGTCTGGAGATCTCCCATCATTCAACACATTTACGATTAATATGAGTGTACTAGGTAGGTTTCCAACTTAAGAGGGATTTATATGCGATATATAGAAATATATAAGAACGTTTCTGAGAGAGTAAAGCTAAGTAATGGTCTCCAGAATATTTAGAATTAATCACTTCCATTCAATATATATATGTAACAGAATATGTAGAGGTACATGAAGTTCCAGGTAACAGTTTAGTAAGAAGTATAAGTGTAGTTATGTTTTAAGTTTATTGCTTATTCAGCTTTTTCACAAAGTTTTAAAATTAATCTGTCCATGATTAATTAACATATTAAGCAGAAAAATGCATGCCCATCAATTCATTTAAAACATCTCGTCTTTGACAGGCATATAAAAAGAAGACAGAATTATCATAGACGAAATATTAAAACAGGAACATCTACTGACTACAACAAACAATTAAAAAAATATAACACTTCTACAGAATATCTGGACCAAATTCAAAGAATCAAAACTATCTCAAGGTTTTCTAAATAAGGTGTCCTTGTGTAGTAATGTCTTATAAGCAAGTTATGTTAGCAAAACTAGCTATCTCTGTAACATACACACCATGCATTTATACTTTTTATTCAGACCTCAGACAATAATTTCATTTCCACATCAAAAGAATAAAATATTTTGTTCTTGCTTTCAAGCTAAGAATAACTCTGACATGAAGCTCATAGAATCATGCTTACTACAGATGAGTCCAGTTCGACTACAAGTTAGTAGGAGCACTGTTGAATGGAAACAGTACTATAAACTTCCTGACCCTTTCAGCAATTTTTTGATGGTTTTTTAGTCAGTGATACCATATCTAATTTGTTCAGAATATCTTTTCAACAGCTAATTTCATCTCTCTTTCTTTATTAACAAGATGTCAAAATACATGTAAGATAACAATTGAAGAAAAGAAAGAAAAAGCTCAAGCTTGATGATGAAATTGGCCTCATGGGTATTTATTTGACCCTTGAACTAAGAGATTGAGAAGTTCATTTATTACATATTAAGCTTTTCCGTTAAAAGATGACAGAAGATTTAGAAAGCAGCTAGACAGCAGCAATTGGCATTTGTCAATTGCCATGACAAAGGAATTAACGAGCAGGTAAGTAATTGTTATAAATGCATCTACAGTTTATCACATCCAGACATTATAATGTCATGCAGAAGACTTCATTGTTCTGTGTCAGCTAGCGAGCAGGTTCATACAGAAGTTTTGAAATTGAAGCACATCTCAAAATAAAAAAATCTGATTACTAAACATTAGTTTTAATAGAGAAACAGTTTTTCAAAAATAACAGAAATATTTCACCCTTTTCCGTTTTGATTTTAACTTTGTGCATTTTGGCCTTGTTCCATAGCCTCTGTGTTTTACTAACTCCAGCTGACCCAAAACAAGGAAAGATAATAAAGAAACATCAAGTCTCCCCTTTCACCATTTACAAGTAAATTTCAAATCTGTATATGATTTAATTTTAAAGCCTAAAGCTGACAGCTAAAAAGTTTTACAGCATCTCCTAACTACACTATACTCAGTCTGATATGCAGAAATATAATTTATCTCCATGTACAAATATTTCAAAGAAACCGGATATCAACAATTTTTACTCATATCTGATTATGTAATAGTATCATATAATATGTAGTACATATCACAATAGATATTATAGTAATTTACATAGAATATCAGACACTGCAATGTAAAATATACAAATGTATGAATCATCTACATTTTGAAATGTGGTTGTCTACAGGGTGTTAATTATATAACATCACCTGGATTAACAGTGCTTTGTATAAAAATCTATAAAGTGTTCACAGGAAGACTACTAGATGTGACAATACATCATCTTACCTTTTGTGCTGTGATATTAGCTCTCATATCACCAATGAGACGATCACGATCCATTAGTTCTATACGTAGCCGCTGCAATCATAAAGTTATAACTTATAATCAATTCAATCCTGATTATAAATTACCAAACTATTGATACATCAAAGGAATTAATTCTCGAATGTTGGTATAGAGGCATACATCCTACATGATCTTCAATTTCTACTCAAACAAGTCACCCATACCCTAAAAATGCACTCCGTGGGTCATATACTGATTTTTTTGCATTTTGCATACTGACATGATCTAGAATCACATTGCTAGTATTACTTATAAATGTTTAGTATGCAAGTCCAGTAAGACACACAAGTAAAAGGTAATGCAGCATAACCTACTACAACAATTCTTAATCTTTAGTAACATTGTTTTGAAGGCAGATCAGAAACATTGTTGTAGAAACATTGTTTTGAAGGCAGATCAGAAACATTGTTTTGAAGGCAGATCAGAAACATTGTTTTGAAGACATCAGAAACATTGTTTTGAAGACATCAGAAACATTGTTTTGAAGACAGATCAGTAAAACTGTTTTGAAGACAGATCAGTAACATTGTTTTGAAGACAAATCAGTAACATTGTTTTGAAGACAGATCAGTAACATTGTTTTGAAGACAGATCAGTAACACTGATTTGAAGACAGATCAGTAACATTGTTTTGAAGACAAATCAACAGGAGATTTAATTTTCTTCCAAATATTATCAAAAGGAACAACTTATGTTGTAATATCATCACAGTGTCAAACTTGCAAATTCAAATTTAGTCAATGTGAGTAAGTAAACGATGAATTAAAGTACTATAAACATATAACTCCATGTAAAGTGAAACCATATCTACTGAAACAAACAGAAGATTAGATACCAAACAGTCAGCATAACATTCAGTTTTACAGATCAGTTTCTGTTGTATAATTAGTATATCTGTGTTGTTGGTTTCTTGACACTGATAGTTTGAAATTCGCAAATATCAAATATAAGAATATACTCAGGTTGTCAAGGGTGAAACATTCAAAATGTAATTAAAAGAGTATTAATTTGGATAAATGGTAATTAATTGTATAAAATGTGTTGGCTAACCCTATTTGTTGTTTAGGTTACATCACATACCAAGGATGGTCAAGGTAAATGAATAGAGAACCAGTCTGTGGAGACTTAACAATACTCAGAAGCCATATTATCCGAATTTTCATTTGATCACTAGAATACAACCTTATATGCAAGTATGGTGTGAAGTTCTTGAATGTCAAGAAAGTGATTCACGTAGTTAAGAATTGTGTTAAAGTTAAAATCTTCCTTATAACAATTTCAAATAAGGATTACAACCAAATTAATTAAGCTAACCTAGATGTAACTGAAAATTGTGAATAGACATATATGAAGTGAAACGTTTTGTCATGGTGAATAAAAAAAAAACAACTATCAATAAACAATGCCTACAGTAATTTAAGAGGGAGCATTCCCATCCCTGTTAAAATTAATACTGGTGCATTAAGTACAGAAATACATGCGGCTTCATTTCTTACACAACAAATATATCTGAAGGGAAATTAGATTTTGTCTAAAGTCTAGCTCCAGACATGCTTCAACATATACCACAATACAGAATTAACAACTGTAACAGAAAAACGGATGTTGTAATATATACCAACCCTGTTGTATCTCAATAGGGATCTCACAGGCTGTTAAATATAGAGTACCAAGTTTATGTGGACTAGACAGACTACCGAGGACATTTAATCAAAGAAATGTATTTATGTATTGTGATTAAGAAATTTTTATTTCTAAATTCAAAAGTATGCATTGACCGTTGGAGATTAAGAGAGAAAATGATGACACATGTTTGAATCATGGCAAAATTGATGAATTATCACAATCACATGACTGTAAGCTTCCCTAGATGAAAAGAACAAATGCAAAAATTATCTTAACTTCATTTTTCATTGAATTTGAAAATTTCTTTATTAACTCTTTCTTTAACACATAATGAGAAATCTGATCAATATATATTTTAATGATTTATTATAGCTTGCTAAGCAAGATCCTAAGCATGCTCCTTACCTCATTTTGTCTCTCTGAATCAGAGAGTTTTATCACCAAATCATCTCTTTGTTCCCCCAATCTCAGAGCAGCAGCCTCTGCGTGATGCTGTTCCCTCAACAATCTTCTTAATGTACGGTTTGTTGCCTCAAAATCAGCCAGTTTTTCCAACAGTATATCCTTCTGTTTCCCATACCGTACACTATCACCGTGAGAAAGTTTATTTTCCTAAAAAAATTCAAATCACATTCAAACAATATGAATAAAAAATGAATATATTGTATCATAAACTATTATGATACAAGATAAACAGATGAAGCAGGTCTTTTAACTTCATCTTGGAGCATATTTATATGAATATGATAGATATTGATGAGAAAAATATCTATTTCTCTTACACTTGTCTAACTATCAAACATATCTATAATGATCTTACCTTGTCTATCAAACAAATCTGTACTGATCTTACCCTTGTCTAACTATCAATCAAATCTGTACTGATCTTACCCTTGTCTAACTATCAAACAAACAAATCTGTCTAACTATCAAACAAATCTACAGACCTTACCCTTGTCTAACTATCAAACAAATCTGTACCCTTGTCTAACTATCAAACAAATCTTACCCTTGTCTCAAACATATCTATCAAATCTGTAATCAAATCTGTCTAACTATCAAACAAATCTACAGACCTTACCCTTGATCTGTACAGACCTTACCCTTGTCTAACTATCAAACAAATCTGTAACTATCTAAACAAAAATCTGTACTGATCTTACCCTTGTCTAACTATCAAACAAATCTGTACAGACCTTACTTGTCTAACTATCAAACAAACATCTCTTGTCAAACAAATCTGTACAGATCTTACCCTTGTCTAACTATCAAACAAATCTGTACTGATCTTACCCTTGTCTAACTATCAAACAAATCTGATCTTACCCTTGTCTAACTATCAAACAAATCTGTACAGACCTTACCCTTGTCTAACTATCAAACAAATCTGTACAGACCTTACCCTTGTCTAACTATCAAACATATCTGTACTGATCTTACCCTTGTCTAACTATCAAACAAATCTGTACAGACCTTACCCTTGTCTAACTATCAAACAAATCTGTACTGATCTTACCCTTGTCTAACTATCAAACAAATCTGTACTGATCTTACCCTTGTCTAACTATCAAACAAATCTGTACTGATCTTACCCTTGTCTAACTATCAAACAAATCTGTACTGATCTTACCCTTGTCTAACTATCAAACAAATCTGTACAGACCTTACCCTTGTCTAACTATCAAACAAATCTGTACTGATCTTACCCTTGTCTAACTATCAAACAAATCTGTACAGACCTTACCCTTGTCTAACTATCAAACAAATCTGTACAGACCTTACCCTTGTCTAACTATCAAACATATCTGTACTGATCTGTCCCTTGTCTAACTATCAAACAAATCTGTACTGATCTTACCCTTGTCTAACTATCAAACATATCTGTACTGATCCTACCCTTGTCTAACTATCAAACAAATCTGTACAGACCTTACCCTTGTCTAACTATCAAACAAATCTGTACTGATTTTACATTTGACTAACCAGAAAACAAACATTTTCTACCCTTAACTAACCATATGATAAATTTGTACCTCTTTTAGTCTGCGTATCACATCCCTTAATTCTCCTATATGTTTTACTGCTGACTGACCATCCATTTCTACCTCAATGAGTTTCTTCATCAATTTTTCCCTTTCACCTGTTGCCATTACTGCTTCATGTCTGTTGAGAAAGAAATTCTGGTAAATATATATCATTCCAGAAAATCATGAATTTTTAAATAAAATTATCCAGCATGTGTCACAAAAAACTGTATTCACATGGACAGGCAAGTGTTTGTAATAAAGTTTCTTTTTTTATTTATCATCAGAATTCTGATAAATACATATTTCAATTGAACTACTGTATTAACACATATTTCAATCAAAATAACACAGTCCTATTTGACATTGATCATAACAAAGAGTATTTTAAGTCTTCTTATCTGGTAATTAAGACAAATACAGACTCATTCCCACCTTGAAAAAACAGCCTCTTCATTGAGGTTTTCCATGCTCCGTCGAAGGATACGATTCTCATGCTCCGTGATGTCAAGTTCGTCTTTATATTCATCCAACTCTCGTTCCTGTTCCCTCATCACTTGTCGTGAGGCATCTAGTAAGTCATCCTTGTGCACCATCTCTTTTAGTGTTCTTTGTAGTTCAGCCTGTCGTGTACCACATAACAGTATTATTATTTAAAAATTATATCAAGCAGATCTCATTTATACATATTACACAACTGACATTTGGATCACACATACCTATAAAATCTTCAATGTTGACAAAAAGGATAATTTGTTCTTAAGCAATGCAATTTGTCTCAACATCAAAATTATAAAAATGGACGATACAGTGGTGTATTTATCTTTAATGAATATACAGCAATCTTTTAAATAGATGCCAATTAATTGATTAATATTAGAGTCAAGCTTGACAGACATGTAAAGAAAAGCTGAAAACTAGCTATGTAAAAAATTTACCTCATTCTTCAGAGTCCCCACCTCTGACATGAGACCCTCTATCTTCTTCTCATAGTTCCTCATTTGTCCATGAACCTGTTCCTCCTCATCTGTGTCCAGGTCACTCATACGAAGACTCTCACGAGGATTGCTGATCTCTAGCCGATGAGTGGGGCCCTGATACACAGAATGGTAGGAATTACAGTTTAAAGCATATCAAGAAATACAAATCTTCTTCATTAGGAAATCTTTCTACCAAAATAAGTTTTTAACATGCTGTTTCATTGTTAAGAATCATGTGGTCTTTGATTGAAGAAAACAAGCCTCTTTTAAGCAATAAAATCTACTGAAATGAATGGTCATAAAACATTTAAGGAAGAAAAATTTACTACAAGGTAGTTGGCATTAACCGACTGGAAAGTGATCCAATATGACTTTATACAAAATATTAGTACTAGTTGGGATAAGGTTGCATTGAAATGACTGTCAACAGTATAGAAGACTGTCCATAAACAAAAAAAATCAACATAATGTGTACTTGTGAACAATAATACCTTTAATCACTTTCTATCCAGTGTTATAAACCAAAAAATAAAAAAAAATAATTATGCATGTTGAAAGAATAATATATGAATGAAGTTTTAACTTGCCTGAATGAAAACCTCCATATAATATTGCTTATTCTAAGTACATGACCTTATTCCTTAACAACTTTAGAAAATATCGTGATTTTCAAAAGAAAGTAATAAAAGACAATTACTATTCAACGTGTTTAGTGAGGATTGAGTTTTAATTCATTCATTCGTTCATGCAAGTGTTTGGCACATGTGACACAAATGCTACCGATCATGCCAAAAATTCACCCGATATGATCTGGAGCGGTGGATTTTTGTTTTACGCGGGTTTCTCGGTCTTGGTGTGTATGTGTTAGTTCTGCACAGGCGAGGTACACAGTGACCCTGACAGAAATGCAATGATCACGAACATGACAGAAATGTACAATGTTTTCAAAGCTTTAATGTCGAATTCAGTCAGAGCATTCAGATAAGACCCAGATTTGTGCTAATAACTTAAGCGAACATTCTAATAATCAAACATTTTAAAATATAACATCTGAGATCACAACCTTTAAATCTATACATCAATGTAGGAAACAATCTTGTCTTGGTAAAGTTCAAATGTATACAGTATTATTTTCATAATGACCTACCTGCCAACTAACCTTTGACCCTTTAGTAGCCTTGCCAGGTGGTGGTACCCATGCTCCCCCAGGACTTTTGCTTCTAGCAGTGCCAGCACTCTTTTTTGACAAGGCTGACCTCACTGGCCCTCCTACTGATGGCACCTGGACAAATGAAGCAGATGGTAATTTATTAAAAGTTAATTAGCAGAAGTTTCATCTTTAATGTATATGAAACAAATTAGTCAACCACAGTCAACAAAACTGCGATATCAAATATCACAAAGGGGACATTCTGATCGGACAAGTCAGACAAATAAGATTTTTGCTAAAGATTTTCTTTTGTATGTAAATGAGGATGAAATATATTTCCGATTAAATCATCATAAGCATATTGATAGAAAAATGGGCTAAGTGCACAACCTTCATCTTCTCCAGAAATAAAAGTAGTAGACAAATAACTACCAAAATTATACTGCATTGGTTTCTAACATAGACAGTCCTAAATAGGTAGCACATTGTAAGCAATACCAAAAAGTATGTTCCCAATCTGACGAACTTATTTTTGGTCTTTTATATTTTTAAGAAATAATGATAATAGCTACCATATTAAACCTGTAATAAACCAATTGGACCAACACAATACCTTCAACTTAAAATATGGACATGACATGAACTTATTGTGGTAATTTTTTTGAAATAATACATGCATAATAATAGTTCCAGAAGAGGTATTAGTACGATGGTTATCCCAGGCTATTTCTTCCCAAGAAGTATGGATTATGAAGATCACATAATTTCATTCTTTTGCATTCCTGCATATCAAATGACTATAATCTTGATTGTACATGTAAGTATTACATTAAGGGGTTCTTGTTCAGCTTGTGAATATGCAGTATTATGATCAGCATGTATGACAAAATGCTGAAGTCTAAACAAGAATTAAATAAAATCAATCACTGCCTCATAAAAGATGAGGAATTTAATATGATTAATCTAAGTAGTATTTCGCACATTATGCATAATATCAAAATACATACAGTGTGTGTAATCATGTAGTTCTGAAAAATGATACACCTTTCCTATCATATTAGTTAAATTATAACTCACCTTTCTAGTTTTCGCTTTCCCCTTTTGCTTAACATGGACATGAACTGGGACATCATCGTCTACATGGACATGGACAGGAGAGGTCGGCCTGAGGCCTTTGTCAGCAGACATACCTAAAATTAGGAGTTAACATATATAGGTACCAGTAACCAGGTTTAACAGTGATATATTAAATACTTAATGACTTGAGATTGAGTTTCTCTTTATTCAAAAAAAGGTGTTTTTTTTTTAAAAATATCAAGGCAATTCACCAACCATTTCCCTGAGGAATAGTTCCAGGTTTTCAACAGAACTCCAGGGTTTATATAAATATTTAAAGGCTTAGTCATACATTTTAATAAGTCAAGCTGGTGCAATAAAAATCATCAGTAGAGAATGGTCATCTATAATATGCTGTCAACTATATATTGATATAAACAGCTAGATAGAAAAAAAGTTTTGTATTCAATTATTTGGTTCTGAATATTCAGGTTCCAACTTCGTCGATATGTCAATACACTAAAAGATTATATTGAGGGTATATTGACAGTCAAGACCTGTATCCGTGATATCGTACATATGCACACTGTATAACATTACACATACGGCTTCATCATTAAATAGCAAAAAGGACGTTTTACTCAAGCATTAATAAAAATAATGCAAGAATTGGAAACGAAATAGGAATTCCTAGAAGTTGTCTTACCAATGACCACTCTATATAACAAATTGTAATAAGTTGGACATTGAGAATGTTTTGATGGAATATAGAATCCGCGGTAAATTCATACTTGTTCGAGCAGGTCAGTAAAACAATTAAAAAGATCACCAAAAACCGAAATGCATTGTCAATGCCATAACAAAACGAACGTGTTGATAAGAGTCCTTGTTGTGATTAACACCTTAGCAATAAAAATTGTCCAACTTCACGTATTGATCGTAGGAACAGAAAACCCTTCATTAATTTTGTATAAAAACATCTGTCGAAACTTGTTCCGCCGACGAGCAATCTTGTGTGCATCATTTTTGCTTGCGTTTATCAACAAAATGTTGTCAAATTTACGCTTGTTTGCATATGCAACAATATAACTCACCTCTCTTCACCATTTTGGTAATGCTCCTGGGTTAGTTTACTTGAATTTCATCTAATTTTCCCCAATATGACAACCCCATTGAACGTTTAGATGTCAATCGGCTTTCTCTGTTGTTGTTTGCCAATGCTGAAAGGCACAATTTGATTGGCCAATTCGTTTTGGTTTGCGTTACGCCTCCATAAGAAAAGATTCCTTCTGAAGAAAGATAACTCTAGGTAAGCAGCAGTAAAATTTCAGTCCTTTTTCGACTCATTTTCAAATATATATATATATATATTTATAATTTAGATAACACATATGTTTAATAAAATTTGAAAACATAAGAAAATAGGATGTTTTTGTTCGACATACAATGACGTAAAAATCAAAACTGGTTACTTAGTATTAAGAGCTCAGAGATTTTAATGAGGATGTGATGGTGGACTTGAATTCACGTGTGCATGTGGACATGGATGTGATGTATTATCATTATACTTATAAGATATAGTAAGTTAATGGAGAATAAACCATCTAAAATAGCAATATGCTTTTCTTTCTATTAAGGCTAATTACATGGGTGTTTAGGATAATTATTATTAAAACTATCATGTCCATGAGCACAAGGTTTAAACAGAGACGTATATATCACATATATGTGACATATACGTCTCTGGTTAAATAAAGAAGAATCGTACGTTGACGTTCTAAATTCTAAAAATTCATTGGAATAAGAATGTTAAGATGACAACTCATTATTCTGTTTAATGCAATTAAATATATGGCACTTTGATTATCTGTTTGATTTTTTTGAAAGTCAAAGACAAACTATGGATTTCTGCTATACCTCAGATCGATCACATTTAATCCTTTGCAATCCTGACATAATGAGAACACACATTAACTAGGCGTTGTATCGATTGCCAGTATCAGTATCAATTCAAGCTTTCCAGCATTAAATATATTAACACAAGTCATAATGTTAAAACATTTTCAACCAAACGTTATTCTAGATAAACTTTTAATTTGACATAGACATGGCCTAAAAGAAGATACGCATTAAAAAAATGATGTATAACTTTCAACAATTTTTACGCATACATTGCTGATTAAACAAGACACACACTTCGTCACATCGTCAACAGCAACCTTACCAGGTGGCTGAGTGACGCAGAGGTAACGCACTCGCCAGTCACATAACGCCGGGAGTTCGATTCCCTTAATGAACATGAAAATGTAGGAAAAGCAGTAGGAAACTTAGGGGGACACTGCCTCCCGTACTCCTACCTGTCTGTAGCTGACGACACTCGTCCGCTGAAAGACCGAAACGCCGTAATAGTGGACATAAAACCCGTTAAATAAATAAATGACAAATAAAGATGACGTCACAGCGGGGAAAATCATATATTTAAACACTTCCTTCAACCCCTCTGTAGATGTCGTCAAAGAACGTGATAATTCATATACTGGACAAAAAATGTTCAGGATCATAAACAAATGTGATATTTTCTGCTATTAAAATAATTCAAGCTTGACACTCCTTTACAACTGGCTTTTCGGGAACGATTGCCCGTGCAACCTTCAATAAACGTGCGACAAGATATCGTGTAACACAGGGTAAAAAATCAAACTGGCGATTGAGGTTTTATTAAAAGTCTTAGTGAAGTTAACGTAAAATAAATCAACATATTTTGTGTTTTTAATGAATGTCCTGTCATTAGCATAAGACGTCACATAACATTTGCAGAGGCTGAATTAGCAGTCGGGATGCCGTAACGAGGACAATCACCACGAACTGTGGCTGCACACTTCATTGTGTCACAGAGTGTCATTTCTCGATTACACAATCTATTCCAGATGACCGGAATCGTCACCGAGAAACCTCGATCGAGTAGACCACGGACAGCCCTTCAGGATCGTTATTTAAGCACCGTTTCTAGGCAAATTCGCCCTGCAAGTTCCACTGGGGTAAATGACGACATCCGTCCAGCTACCGGAATAAGAATTTCTGCACAATCATTGAGAAGTAGATTTCACAGCTCTGGATTACGCTCAGACACACCGTCACGATACCTCGACAGCATTTGGCAGCTGACCATGTAAATTGGCGACCGCATCAGTGGTCTATTATTTTACGGATGAGTCCAGGTTTTGTATGAAATTTCATGATGGCATGATGAGTGTTTGGCGTGGGTTGCGTGAGAGGTATATGCTGACTGCTGCGTCACTGAGCATAACCGTTTCGTTGGGGGCAAAGTTTGAGCATGTGCAAGGATCAGTTTTGATGGTCGGACTGACTTGCACGTGATTGAAGGCGGTAACCTCACAGATTTAAGCATTCTAAGCATTCAATCTAAAACCTGTTATCAGTCTAAACGTTAAGTAATGAATTACTTTATCGTGACTTCCATCCATAATGTGAACGAGTATATATGTAGTTTGTTGGTTGGAATTACCACACAATCTAAAAAAAGCGCTCGTCACGCTCTCTAATACAGGTGTGTATATCAGTTAACATCAACTAGTAAATAGCTTACAACAACAAGAGAAGAGGTTATGAAACGTTGTCTGTGCGTGCGAAGGTACATGTGTGTGCGCGTGCGAGCGAACTGCATGCTGTTTCTTTTCCGTTTCAACATTCTTTTGAATCTTTTTAAAATGTTCATGTTATAAATCAAGATGAAACAATTGTTGGAAAATCCATAAAAATAATCATACACCTTAACATGTGACCAAATCAAACCACGATGGGAAAAGGCTAGCCAGGGACGTACCTGTATTAAACGTCCTTGGGTTAGTCAAGTAGCCTGTCTTTGGTCGTGATATATATATATCATAATAGGGAATGATTTGTAGGTCAGTTTTATACGCAAGGTACGATACTTTATTAAAAACTGAGTGAGTAGCATGTGATTTTTCCTTTAATCATTTGGAATTTTATTTCGAAATCATTTGATCGAGCATCATTTTAAACAGAAATTCTTGAGAGAGTGTCACGGATATTCAATCAAAGGTATCATTTACCCCTCTCGGTAGTCCGAAGGGTGCTCACTCTATCCGTGATTTTATTTCTGTCTTGAATCGGCTGCCGACATTATGCTTGTGGCGATACTGGAAAGGCTTGTAGGATCATCACACTAATTACGCCCAACATTTATTAAGGGGGCTTTCCCCGATCACCTACCGAATTGTACAAGGCCTCTATCTTTTTCATCCTCTATCGTCCCTTCCAACTTCCTCTCTCCGTACTTACTGATACATGCGTGTCCTTGAACTTAATGCTTATGATATGAGAGCAAACAAATTTCTTGAAGGCAGTAAAAATTGCTATTACCAAAAGTCAGAAAAGAAAAAGTTTCTAATAAAAGGTAAGGTCAGCTGTTCTTTACATCTGCCAGCTCCATGTAAACCTTTGTCTCATCTTCCATACGCCTATCAGCTACATGTACCAGGAAATGAGTTAGTGGGTACAATGATACAACATGTAAATCACAACCAGGAAAACAGTTAGTGGGTACAATGATACAACGTGTAAATCACGACCAGGAAAAGAGTTAGTGGGTACAATGATACAACGTGTAAATAACGACCAGGAAAAGAGTTAGTGGGTACAATGATACAACGTGTAAATCATAGCCAGGAAAAGAGTAAGTGGGTACAATGATACAACGTGTAAATCATAACCAGGAAATGAGTTAGTGGGTACAATGATACAACGTGTAAATCATAACCAGGAAATGAGTAAGTGGGTAAAATGATACAACGTGTAAATCACGGCCAGGAAATGAGTTAGTGGGTACAATGATACAACGTGTAAATAACGACCAGGAAAAGAGTTAGTGGGTACAATGATACAACGTGTAAATAACGACCAGGAAAAGAGTTAGTGGGTACAATGATACAACGTGTAAATCTCATAACCAGGAAATGAGTTAGTGGGTACAATGATACAACGTGTAAATAACGACCAGGAAATGAGTTGGTGGGTACAATGATACAACGTGTAAATCACGACCAGGAAATGAGTTAGTAGGTACAATGATACAACGTGTAAATCATAACCAGGAAATGAGCTAGTGGGTACAATGATACAACGTGTAAATAACGACTAGGAAATGAGTTAGTGGGTACAATGATACAACGTGTGAATCATAACCAGGAAATGAGTTAGTGGGTACAATGATACAACGTGTAAATCACGACCAGGAAATGAGTTAGTGGGTACAATGATACAACGTGTAAATCACGACCAGGAAATGAGTAAGTGGGTACAATGATACAACGTGTAAATCATAACCAGGAAATGAGTTAGTGGGTACAATGATACAACGTGTAAATCACGGCCAGGAAATGAGTAAGTGGGTACAGTGATACAAAGTGTAAATCACGACCAGGAAATGAGCTAGTGGGTACAATGATACAACGTGTAAATAACGACTAGGAAATGAGTTAGTGGGTACAATGATACAACGTGTGAATCATAACCAGGAAATGAGTTAGTGGGTACAATGATACAACGTGTAAATCACGACCAGGAAATGAGTTAGTGGGTACAATGATACAACGTGTAAATCACGACCAGGAAATGAGTAAGTGGGTACAATGATACAACGTGTAAATCATAACCAGGAAATGAGTTAGTGGGTACAATGATACAACGTGTAAATCACGGCCAGGAAATGAGTAAGTGGGTACAGTGATACAAAGTGTAAATCACGACCAGGAAAAGAGTTAGTGGGTATAATGATACAACGTGTAAATCACGGCCAGGAAATGAGTAAGTGGGTACAGTGATACAAAGTGTAAATCACGACTAGGAAATGAGTTAGTGGGTACAATGATACAACGTGTAAATCACGACCAGGAAAAGAGTTAGTGGGTAAATGATACAACGTGTAAATCACGACCAGGAAAAGAGTTAGTGGGTACAATGATACAGAGTGTAAATCACAACCAGGAAAAGAGTTAGTGGGTACAATGATACAACATGTATTTATTAAATCACAACCAGGAAAACAGTTAGTGGGTACAATGATACAACGTGTAAATCACGACCAGGAAAAGAGTTAGTGGGTACAATGATACAACGTGTAAATCACAACCAGGCAAAGAGTTAGTGGGTATAATGATACAGTGTAAATCACAACCAGGAAAAGAGTTAGTGGGTACAATGATACAACGTGTAAATCACAACCAGGAAAAGAGTTAGTGGGTACAATGATACAACATGTATTTATTAAATCACAACCAGGAAAACAGTTAGTGGGTACAATGATACAACGTGTAAATCACGACCAGGAAAAGAGTTAGTGGGTACAATGATACAACGTGTAAATCACAACCAGGCAAAGAGTTAGTGGGTATAATGATACAGTGTAAATCACAACCAGGAAAAGAGTTAGTGGGTACAATGATACAACGTGTAAATCACAACCAGGCAAAGAGTTAGTGGGTATAATGATACAGTGTAAATCACAACCAGGAAAAGAGTTAGTGGTACAATGGGTACAATGATACAACGTGTAAATCACAACCAGGAAAAGAGTTAGTGGGTACAATGATACAACGTGTAAATCACAACCAGGAAAAGAGTTAGTGGGTACAATGATACAACGTGTAAATCACAACCAGGAATAGAGTTAGTGGGTACAATGAAACGGTGTAAATCACGACCAGGAATAGAGTTAGTGGGTACAATGATACGGTGTAAATCACGACCAGGAATAGAGTTAGTGGGTACAATGATACAAAGTGTATATCACGGCCAGGAAATGAGTAAGTGGGTGCAGTGATACAAAGTGTAAATCACAACCAGGAAATGAGTTAGTGGGTACAATGATACAACGTGTAAATCACGGCCAGGAAATGAGTAAGTGGGTACAGTAATACAAAGTGTAAATCACGACCAGGAATAGAGTTAGTGGGTACAATGATACAAAGTGTAAATCACAACCAGGAATAGAGTTAGTGGGTACAATGATACAACGTGTAAATCACGGCCAGGAAATGAGTAAGTGGGTACAGTGATACAAAGTGTAAATCACAACCAGGAAATGAGTTAGCGGGTACAATGATACAACGTGTAAATCACGGCCAGGAAATGAGTAAGTGGGTACAGTGATACAAAGTGTAAATCACAACCAGGAATAGAGTTAGTGGGTACAATGATACAACGTGTAAATCAAGACCAGGAATAGAGTTAGTGGGTACAATGATACAACGTGTAAATCACAGCCAGGAAATGAGTAAGTGGGTAGAGTGATACAAAGTGTAAATCACAACCAGGAAATGAGTTAGTGGGTACAATGATACAACGTGTAAATCACGGCCAGGAAATGAGTAAGTGGGTACAGTGATACAAAGTGTAAATCACAACCAGGAATAGAGTTAGTGGGTACAATGATACAACGTGTAAATCACGACCAGGAAAGGAGTTAGTGGGTACAATGATACAACGTGTAAATCATAACCAGGAAATGAGTTAGTGGGTACAATGATACAACGTGTAAATAACGACCAGGAAAAGAGTTAGTGGGTACAATGATACAGTAGTTGGATGGCACCACTAAACTATACATCTTAACGGTAACAGACCTTTTCAAAAAGGAATTCAATTTTGGATTGGAGAGCTTACTTGTCCAGCAGACTTCTTCCTGTGCATATTGTCTATATTAGTATCTTTCTAAACTGTTTTGATGTCACCATTTGTATAATTATTTGTGCTTAGATAAACTCATATGTTATCAGAAAGTTGAGAAGTTCCCTCCGTTGAAATCAACAACTTGATATTAGATATACTTCGAAGTTTCTACATTTCGTAAAGATGAAAGCATTCAACTTTTTTGTTAACGATATCTCCGCTGCCGGAAATTGCACAATACCTCATTGCAAGTCTTCGGTGCTATCGTACATTGTGCTTCGTTGCCGCCATCTTCAAATGTGTCTTCCGAAATATGTAATACAATTAAACACTATGTTATATGTATCTCAAAGATTGTATAGAAGATACGCAAGTGAATTAAACCTGTTAGCACAACTTGTAATTCTGTACAGTAGTGTCAAATGATAAATTTCATACAGCTGTTTCGTCATTTTGGAACTCGTAAGTTATGTCAAAACCGCCGGAATCAATGTCCAAATATAAATAACGAGGTTCAATAACCGCATAACTATATAAATTTCGTTATTTTCTGTATAAGATGATTTTAACATCATTAATCCATTCAGTTTCCCTGCAGCGGATTGCTATTTATTGCAATACTCGGCCTTGATTACCAAACTAACCTAGCCATATTAAGGGACTTATGTTAGATTGACTTCAGCACATGATGTAGTTGGATACAGACGGATGAAGTTTCATTAACACCATTATGAGTTATTTAGATTCTAATCTATTACTTTATGCAATATGACATCAACGACATATTCATGCTTGTTGTGAGTGTGTGCGTCGTTTTCATTACCCCAATTTTCTATTTGAGAACATGACATAATTTGAATTTAAACAAGAGTAACACGTGCACTTTGTACGTTTAGTTTATAGTATTTGTGCGAATGTCACTGTCATTCTTTCGACAGGTTTTCTTCTGTTTTTACGTACATGCTATAGAGCTACTCATGGTTGAGCATGTAACTATTGATACATATTTTGGTGTGGTGAGAACTTTACCACAAAGCTATTCGGGTTGTATGAAATGATTTCGAGAAGATTCTTCGGAAAAAAGTTACATTGGTATCATTTCAATATGTGGGAAGGTAAATGGTTTTGACTGATCCGGTTTTATTTATAGACATCACATTTTCCATCACATCCAGGAAAAGAATGATATACAAACACAAAAACATTGTTTTCCAAGCTGTAAATTCTATTCTTTCTAATTATATTTGTTAAAGTGATCTTTATAAAAGTAAATAAAACCAAATGAAAAGGAAAAGACAGGTGTATTCATATGTTACATTATTTTAGTTAGGATCAGCAATCAACACTTATCAATGGCGTAGTACATGGCAGAGAAGGCGTCACAGAATTCCTGTCTACTCACGGATGTATTGCCTGTGATAAAAGAAAACATTTAATGGTACAACGTAGGAACGCATTACCGACTGGAACGATCTAATTAAGTTCCAATGTTCAATCTAACTCCGTATGAGTAAAGTTCAATTGAACGTCGTATTTAAACAAATTGCGGTAGGATAAAGTATTGCGAAAAAGTAATAGTCACACTTAAATATCAATAATGTTTCCATGGACTTAATTGTGTTATGATGTGTGTAACTTTCGGCAACCTTATCATTATGTATAGTTCTATTTAAAATACGTAATAAAATAGTAAGTCATCGAAAATGGAGATGGTTCTTAATCAAGAAGAAAATACCAGCATTTGAGTCATAACTCAATCTCAAATTCTTTAAAACACTAAGGCAAAATGTGAAAAAATAAAGATTTACACGGAGACTCCTGATAAACTACGAGGGGAATAAGTCTAGATGTTTCGGAAGAGTAAGCGTCTTCTGCTTCTTCTACGACACAAACATACGGTAACGAAACGTTATAAGCCTGCTTGTTAACATCTCATTAAAACATTGATATGTTCTGATCTTCTCGCAAGTGACTGTGATAATATGTATTTCAACGCAATGATTACCTTTTTGCCAGGGAAATATAGGAATTTATCAATTAGATCAATTTTATATGATGTAGTGATCCTATAACCTATTCCATTCTGTAGATGTCAAAGCACATATATTTTCCGATCACTTTTGAACGCCTGTATATTTTATGTTAGCTTGGTTCTTTTTTGTTTTCGGTGTTTTTTTTTTTTTTTTTCTGTTTGTCACCGTTTTCATTTGCCTTCCCCTAACATATAACAAAACAAAACAAAAACAAAAACAAAAAAAATCTTATAGTTTCCCAATAAATCTCATATGTATTTTACATAATAAATTATTTACTATTCTCTGATAAAATGAGTTACTGTAAACATCACATCAATATTATAGGCCAAATGTAATCTTATCACAAGGTGCTACAACGTACATAACTATAAACCTCACCACAAGTTCTACACAACGACGAAACATACTTATCTTTAAACCTCACCACAAGTTCTATACAACGACGAAACATACATATCTATAAACCTCATCACAAGTTTTAACACGTATGAGGAATTGGTTTACTTCGCTGTTGACAAAACGTACCATTGCTAATATATCGGTTTTAATTTATTATGTACATTCGAGATATTTTACTGAAATTACGTTATAAATGGCATCGGTACCAATGTTTAATAACTTACCATTTTCATCAAACATGCTGAACAGAGTGTTGATATCATTTTGTGTAATTACTCTGTCACCGTCAAGGTCCGTGCGAAAGAAAAATAGTGTTACGGAACCAGGTTCAGACAGTTGGCTGTTGCGCGATGTCCAGCCATTTACAAACTCGTGTTCGGAGACCCGGTGATCCTCTGTTGGGTTGAAAAACAGAGTTAGATAAACTAATCTACAAGATCTATCTCCTTTAATTGCTCAGTCCAACCTCGTTATCTCGAACTCGAAGATTCTGTTTAATTCGAAGTATATTTTTGTCGTATCCAGAGTATTTAACCAAACATTCGATCTCACTTCAATCGAATACTCGGATAACTCAAAGTTTTCCAAAGGTACCGCCGACTTCGAAATAACGACGTTCGACTGTATGTGGAGACTGAGTTTCATTAACGGGATCGCAAACAGTATCTCCACACAAAATGAGCAGCTATGTGATTTACTTCATTTATATGGTAATCTATAGATCTGTGTTAACGTATATTGTATTGGAGAAGTTCCTTTTATACAGCAGTTAAAGAACTGTTTAGCAGTACAGATCCGTAATCACATACACCATGATACCCATACAAGTATACAACGTTAGGGAAAAAGTTCTTTTTCCGCAAAGACCTGCAGCTAGCAAGGACGACTTAGCTGGCCATACTGCCGTGTCCCCTTCCCGGTTTGGAAAATCCAAATTACATTTGGATTTGCACGCGGAAAAGCTATATTACACAGAGAATATATTGCTTGCCGTTATCATTTTGTTTTCAACTCCTGGCCACAAGTTTACAGTTTCTTAATTTGGAAACATCATCATTGCCATATTTCGGTAGTAGCTTCTACTGGGATAATTTCCATGTCGTTTAGAAGCTTTGCAATATTTTCTCTTTCAAACGTGCAAATGATCTAGTGTATGATGCATCATTTTAAACAAAAGGGCGAACTTAACAGACATAGGGCATTAAAATTTAATAGCCAATATTCTCACGTAAACCTTGTACAACGATTTCGTATGCTGGATCATCTAACTTTAGTCTACTTAAACTCGGATAAGTTATGGTATAGTCGTTAATAACAAAACATAAAACCATATCAAAATTCGTTTAAGACATTTTTTTCCAAGATGGCCGCCACAGGAAGTTGAATTTTAATGTCATCCAATTTCGAGGAAAGGTGCGGTCTAATATAAGGAACACAACGGTGCAATCAGTTTTTTTTGACTGAATAACAGTCATGGCTGTCAAAAATAAATGTCTAAACTTTGAAACATTGACATTGTTAATGGTGTCTGCCAGATGGCTCTTCCATGCCTAACCATGTCAAGGTAAATTAGCTATCGGTTGTCAAGTGTCGTTGGCTGGCGTCTGCTGGCTGGCCACTGGTAAACCAGAGGTCACGTATCTGGCTCTAGTGAAAATAAGCTTGACTGTTGGGTAGAATTGTTTCCTACATGTACTTCAATTAACATTTTGGGGGGACTTGTACAACAATCTCCGTTACAAGTTGAACTTGTTATTATCAATGCAAATAAGTGATGTGTGTAGTGATATATTAGCCAGGAAAGTATGTAAACGTAATTGAGAATATATCCTATGTCTAGAAGGAAATACTGATAAAGGCTAGGAAGAAAACAACACTGAAATTTGATTATAATCAATGTATTTAATTGATTGATTAAATTAAAACGGGATATCTCTCAATGCAAAAACCATTCCCACTTCGTAGAAACCACACATCCCCCACCTCAACCGTTCGGAATTTCTTGTATATGTCCCAGGTTACCACTATATAGTACTTATATTTCGTGCCTCCTCCCTCTAGCTCTATCTACAATATGATTTCAGTTTGTCTCACTTTTACATACGTGACAAGAACTTTTCAAGTGATCTTACAATGTGTGAGTAAAATTACATATATGATTAACAATTTAGAAATAATTCAAAAACTATTACCCGGCCATGCATCAAATCCCATGAACAGTGTGCTGAACTCGGATTTTCCAAGTACCCCGTTATGATCCGAGTCATATTTGTCGAAAAGACTGTGACCATTATCATGATCATCTCCGTCTGATTTTACAGAGCTGTGGGAAAGACAAATAGATATAATTGACTTAAACTTTAAGCAATGACGTGTGATACAAGTAGACATATGAAAGTATCCAAAACTTACTATGTATACATATTTTTCGAGCTATTTATTCATTATTTTCATGATGAAAACAAAAATTTCAAACATTTCAGAATTCTTTGATAACCTTCAGGTCTGTTGATAAACTTGTGTTGAAGAAAACCTATTTCCTAACGCTACGCCCTTTCTGCTAATTTTGATACTTATTGTTTATCATTGGATTATTTTTTATTGTTTTATTTTTGTTTTGGTTATTCTCATTTATTCATTTCCTTTTCATTTTAAATATTGATTTTTGTATGCCTATCTCAATGTGTCCTACGTTCTCTTCTAGTCCCTTCACTTATGTTCACGATTGTACCTTGATATAAATGTATGTCATTAAAACTGTGATAGCCTGGTGTGTATTAAGAAGCGATGTAAAAGATCTAGAAGAAGTGCCTGCGCATTGTAATATTTCATGTGAGATTTAAAGCATTCAAAATTTTATGATGATAAAGGATTGTTATGAAATTATAAGCCATTGGTCATTGAGTCAAAACCAGATACACTTACCTAATGAAAAGTATAACGATGACCGTAAGCTTAAGCATGTCGAATATCCGGTGTATTTGTGCGACAACAAGGTCACTGGTTGAAGACCTAAATAAAAGATCAGAACCACGTGACACAACCTGGAATCTACACACGACACTGTATTCTATGTAAGAAGATAAAGCAAAGACTGAAAAAATGCATAAGAATGGCCAACAAGCACTCTACGGAATCGAACTCAAAGAGGATAACATAATATTACTGAAGTCCCAGTGATTAGCACCTTACAGTCACAATACAGAAACTACATGGTGTATCACCCAGAAAGTCATCAGTTCCTTACAGTAATTTTTTTTTTTATTTATTTTCATTACACTAAGAAATAGCCTACACTAGTGTTTACCCCACCTACACATCCAATTTTTCCAAAGTAAAAATACTGCCTAGTCATTCTTCGGTATTACAACAATTCAGATTGCCTATTACTGGTAAGGACAGGGACAGGACCTCCCCTTTTATAATGGATTCCTTAACTTTATAAGAATCTATATCAACAAAGTTTTATTGCTGGCTTGTCTAGATGTTCAACAAGGCCTTGTCAAAAAACTCTATTTTAAGTACTATCAAATCTGGGCTTCAGTCTTAATGTGACACTTTTTACTCTAAAAGTGTAATTGCTTTTATATGAATTTTCAAAGAACCCCAAAGAGCACATGACCAATTTTCAAGCCCTTTCTAGAAATATTTCTTCTTTAAGAACATTCGATTTTTTTATCCTGTACACCGCCATACCCCATTCAAAACTGAAAGAACGCCTTCGTTCTCTTGTTATAAGAGCTTTCTTTTTCAATAATGGTGAACGGCCGTACAAATATATGGTCATGAACTATACTAAAGCGAAATCGTTAAAAATACGTCAAAATCAAAGCTGAAATATACGGAGGACTAATCGTAAAATTGGTCTAGTTTCTAGTTAATAACATCCTCGTCGAGTTTAATGTTAAGATCTACTGGGAACTAACTATGTCCCTCCGGTGGCTGACTTGCTTTTTGTTTTTCATACGAAGCTGATTTAATCGAAGAGCTCATCAAAACATGTCACAAAGATCTTACAAAGTCTTTTTATTTCATTTTCAGATATATTAATGACGTCTTTAAATAACGAGATATTTTTTACCACTGCCGTCGTGTATCCCCACCAGAATTTGGAATCAAAGACACGACAAACTGTGTGTGTACAAGGTTACCAACATGGAAAGTTTTCCACCAAGCTGCATGATAAGCGTGATGATTTCAATTTTCCTATCTTGGTTGTTTTTCTTTCAGGATAGCAACATTCCTGCATACCCAACCTATTTTTTTACATGCCGCGGTTAATTCGATAATCAAAGTTCTGTAACACGGTTTATCGTACAAGAGGTCGTAAACTGACTGACAAACTGGTAACACAAGGTTTCAAAAGATGCAGGCCGATGAAAATTTTGGGAAGTTTTATGGTCGCCATAGTGATATCATTCAGAAATATTCTCTTTCTTTGTGTGATATGAAGCTGGATGTGTTTTTGCTCGTCAGTTTGCCCGTTGGTTCCGTTGTTGTATACCTTGTTCTCATTTGAGAACGTGACATTACCTACTTGGATTGACCAAGGTTAATTTGACGAGTGTCGTCGATAAAGCAGAAACGCGTTACTCTTCCGGAACACCTGGTCTAATTCTTCTTGTAATTGTAAATCTTTCTTTTGCTTATATTTGGAAGCAGGACGTTTCCTTGAAATAAGGAACTTTCGTGAAAGTGCTGCCTGGGGCAACATACCCTGATTATTTTTAACGTATCATTAAGATGAGGTTGGTGATGTTGACCTCTTCTTACTCTTCATCGCAATTGTCGCAGACTTTCAGATATACGACGGTCTATTAATATGTGACTTGCAACAAAGAAATTCTATGTCAACTCGGTGACAATTTACATTGAGAAGAACAAGAGCAGTCATAAAGGACAAAAATGCCGTCTCTTCATGTGAGAACAAGACATGGAAGCTGCAATAAAGTCGGCTAGGTTTAAACCATAGGCAGTGCCCGCGGACGAGTGAGTGCAGATTGGTTCGAAGCGACATATGGACGTACACTATCATTATCGTGACGAACACAGGTTGTGTACAGTTAGCTGTTGAGTGGGGGCTGTTATCTTTAATAGATAATGTAGCCCTTGACCTAGTACTTCCTATTGCAAGAAAATTCGAACATGAGAATATTCAATTTCGCGTTACACCAAAATACAGAAAAAACGTAATAGAAATATTGTATTATGAGTTTTTTTTCTAATTAAAAGTTACTCCTTTAGCGAATATAAAAAATCAAAAGCATCAGATATAATATCAACATCCAAACGTGTGATACGATTATCGTCTTTAAGATACGAATTGATATGGCCATTCCATGAACCATTTGGAGAAAGTTATAGCCACGGCTTAAAAATACTTCGTTTTAATGTCATTTTCATCTTTCATTTGAAAAATTATACAAAAGACAAACAAGTAAGTAACACCTTTCATTACCAATTTAAAGTTAGGCAGAATAGAGCCAATAATGAATTAAACTGTACCATGTTTCGTCCCGGTAGGACTTGTTAGTATAGCAGCTAAGGACCTAAATAATGAAACCTACTATAGAAAATCAAACGTGATCGAAAGAAATATCATGACCCTATCATTATATAACTTCCGAAATTTTCATTTCCATGCCAATAAATGAAATATCTCTGCCGAAAATGCTTACCGCATTGTGTGTGACTATAAGGCACAACAAAAGTAACGCGTAAGTCGATAGAAGTTAAACGCGATGTCCTCTATTTAACACATAAATTGTACTTCAGAATTATCAACTTACTAATAACTTCAATTGTTGTATACGTTGTTCTTATTTGAGAACTTGACATCACTTACTTGGATTGACTATGGTTTATATGGCAGATGTCGTCTTATTCTCCTTGTACTGTTTCAGGAGTCTCGTTTTAATATTTCTTTTGTTAATATTTTCCCCTCGTTTTATTGAATTTGAGTTTGAATTATGATTATGTTGCCATGTTGGTATCTTCTTGATTTTTTATAGCAGTGGTAATAAGTAATAAATAGCCATTTATTTTTTTTTAATCCTTCAGTGTTGAAACGGACAAAACCATCATTAAAGACTAATTTGAGAGAGGTTGATGTCAGTCGTTTCAACGCATTAGCATTTGGAGTCTGCACGCGTTTAGTTTTCAAAGTAACAATGCATAAGACAGTGATTATGGGCAGCTAAACAGAAATAACGTTCCTCGAATAATAGACATAATGTCTCGTACCTAAATTAGGATGCTAAGTCGTGCATACGTGAACCTCGATTTAACTTTTTGATTTACCACAAAAATATCCTGCTATCACAACCAGCATCTTAACATTATTTTGATGAGAATTGCAACAGTTAAGAAAGTATTCTTAATTTGAACAAAAAAAAAAAAAAATCATTGGGTCTTGATATGGAACCTGTATGGGTTTTTAAATGTCGATTTAAGGTCATAAATTCAAAGTTTGTTGAAATATTTTAGGACTTAAACTGCCCTAGTATTTGTCTCGTATCCATCACATAAAATGACACTATACATGTGCATAGTATAGAGAATAAATAACAAGCCAGTGTTAAGGTATAATAACAAAAATTACGAAATTGAACTATTTAGGACAGAAAGACCTCGATGCTGGTTGTGCTTTTTAGTTATATCATCTTTCATATATACCCATGTATTTCTTATCCGCCTTTTATGTATATATACAAACGATGTATTGGATTTCTATGGATCATATCACTAAAATCGAAAGAGCATGTTGTTGTCTCCATCATGCGTTTTTGCTTTTTTTCTTTTTCTCCTCAGTAACTCTAGCACGTAGAAGGTCATACGGTTCTACTTCTACATTTTTATAATCGCCTTCAACATCTCCAAGATTACGTCATTCCGAGGTAGAGAATTTTACATAGAGTTACTTGATAGGGACATGGATGAGTATGCCTGATGAGACGTGATGATGGAGTTAAACTGTCTTTTTGGTCATGCATAATTTTACGTCTTTTTTCTTGGTTAGGTTTACTCGACATGCCACCAACATTAGACATACTGCAATCACTGTTAACGACAAACCGAGCTGCTCTCCGTTATCTGTTGGATATGAGCCGTGTTATAGGGATCGGATCTCGCACAGTACATACATACACATGTAAGGATATGACATGTGGATCCTGTTTTTAGATTCATCAGTAGAAAGCCGAGAGTAGGGTTAACTTTGCAACATGTCGTTTATACATACGAGACTCCCAATGAATATCTGAATAGCTATTAAATCCAAAGTATCTGGCATCTACATGTCGGAGTGGGTGATCATGTAGCGTATACTGGAATTTCGGGGATGTCTTATTAAAAGTGATCGATATGACACTACACTTCTCTGGATGGAATGACATTTCTACTCTCGCTGTCCTAGTCAACCATCCTCATTGTTAGACCTGATAGGCAATTATGTCATCCGGAAAGAGACGGACTGTTGAGTGTAGACCTAATCACAGGTCAGAGACATAGGGCAAAAGCAGCGTCGGATCAAGCCATAGTGGTTCAACATGTAAACTGTTTCGTGAGATCCATAATGATGTCTGTCTGCGTTGAATTGTCTATAGGTTTTGGAGACATCTAAAACATGACTCACGCATGATTTTGATGTGCGGAAGTCATGCTAAAGGGTAACACAGATGTCGTGAATGACTATTATATGACCCATATCTTGTTAAAGGTGCAAGTAAGAGGGATGGTCAGCAGTTTTCAGCAGCTAATTTAGGACCTTTTTTTTATTATAGGTATGGAATTACTGATCGATGATGATAAAGATGGGTGAGACGCCAACAGTTAATTTCTTCAAACTTTTTATGCTCTCATTACAAGAAACTTTGATATGGTTGCGTCTTTTTAGAGGTTTGACATTTTGATTATACCATCAAAATTAATCTTATGTTTGAGGACTGAAATACCTTGAATGACCTTGATTTTTAAGATCTGATTTGGGAGATTGGCAATCTTGAGTGTGTTATCGTGCCTAATTGACATGCCGAAGTTTAATGTAAATCTCGGTGGCAGATTTCTACAACAATGTAAACTGATGATAATGAAAAATAATCCTATCCTTTTACACGACATCCACATTAAGGGAAATATGATTGTGCAAACAACGTTTTTCAGATGTGTCATTAACATATTTAATCGTACTTGTCCTCATTTCAGTGTTTTAGGCTGTTTAGTATTAGTCTCATACAAGTTTCTTTGGTGTCCGTTACTTGTTAGAATGTTTCTAACTCTGGTTCTGAATTTTTCGGTGTTTTTGGCCTTTAGCGTCAGTGAGGAGTCAACACAGGACGAAACAACATGCATGACGAAATTAACCACTACTTCATTCGTATTTAAACAAACAATGGCAAACAAAGTGGCTGTTCCTAAGCTTCGGCCAAATTGTAATCTCAATTTTGACTTAGTGAAGACAATTCTTGTCAACTAATTTTAAATTTGGAACAGTCATAAGTCCATCACACTAACATCTCTTATCAGCTCATCACATCTTTAATGTGCCCTGTTTGTAACAACTCTCAATGAAATTACATTTGAAAAGTTTGATTAAATAAGTAAATAAATTGCTGTAAAGTCATCGATATTAAGAAAACATTGAGAACACAAACAGAAAAGCATGGTACAATTTGCTACAGTGATTTGTCTTATAAACTTGTATGTTTTATTATCATGTACATATGTAGTTAAGAGATAAATTGATGCATTGTATATAATATTTTTTATACTCGTGAAAATGCGTATATGTTTATGTAAATCATGTTTTCCATCTTGAATTTCTGTCATCAATACATTTGATAGTGACATCTCAGATAACCATAATAATTACTATCACTGTCAAATGATGTAGAGCTAGATGTACTATCCTAGTATGCATGTTTGAATCTTAATAACTAGCTAAATGACATGACAATCATACTTCGAAAATATCGTACTAATACTTTGTCAAGCTATTTATCAATCCGAGATTTAGATGTTCAAAGTGATTCTGTATCTCTATCTGTATTGTCAATGGAAATTAACTCACAATTGAGAAAACTTTATCCAAGGTGCACTTTAACAATCTAGGACATTTTTGGTCTGAACGGCGACCCTAAATTGTAACCGTACCAGACGGTCATTGTCCTTTTCTCCGGTACGGACCTCATACAACAGAATCACAGTCGTGGATGGATATAACAATTGAGAAAATAGATTGTAATTAAATTGCATGTGTTTGAAAGTCTGGTTGGGATTATGTTGAGTGTATTTTCATGCACATCTCCCTTCTTTACCGTTACTCAGTACGCTATTCAATGTAAGGATTCTGTCAAAGTGAAAGTAGATTATTATTACTAGAGTAGTCTCCCTTTAAATGACGTCACATTTCCCTCAGCCATATTGGAAAGGGTCAGTATTGCACGTGTTGAAATTAGTGTTTCCAGACTCTTATTTTTCCAAACAGACAGTTGTTCAAGAATCAGTTTCTTGTGACAACTGTATAAAGACTATCGATATGTGTCATTTTCATAAGTAAGAATGATGCAACTACCAAACTTTTGCAAAATGATGATGTTTTTATTGTCATTTGTCTATTGTGTACCTACTTATACATATAGATATGTAGTAAGCTTGCTGATAATTTCTAATTAGCAAGCGACAGATCACCAGGCTACATAGTAATTAGCAGCATATTGTCTAAATTTTCTACCGTAAATATTGTTGTCGGTGCGTCAATTAAAATTGACTCTGTTTTGTGATTTGTTGTTTAAAAAATTCCCTCGAAAGTCTCCTTCGATAAAATTTATTTGGCACGTCAGTGTTACGACAGTAGTACTGCTCGCCCTAATTCAGCACTCGATGTCTGTGGCACACAGGCCTTTATTTTGCAGTTGAGCAACAAAAAATGCATGCATTGAAATATCATGTCTGTCTACCGCGGTTATAATTGTCAGAATAGAGTACTTCTATGAGACGTCTCCTGATGAAAAAAAAACCAAAACAATATAGTCCAATTTTGCGATTGAAAAAAAAAGAGAAAGTAAAAGAAGAAAAAGAAAACCAACTAAAGCAATTAAATCATATAATATGAGCAGTCACATTTTCACTAGTAAAATCCATTCAGGTCAGATTATGAATTTGAGCCCAGATTTTCTTTGAATCTATCATGAATACTAATTAATTCACCCTCTCCCTCAATTGAATTGTGGTGACTTCTGAAACTGAGATAAAGGTCTTGTTACTGGTTTGAGATGTAAAATCACAGCTATGAGTTTTCCTATTCATTGAAGTTGTATTCAATTAAAAGTTGAGCGGATCACCTGGCCCTGTCCTGTTTAATCTGCTGTACTGTACTGTTACAAGTCTTTAGAGTTTGTTTGCCTCTTGCATTATACAACACTGTATTTTTAACCATGATTCAATTATACCCTGCAAGAATTGATGGAAATGTATTCAATATATCACTTAAACACTGCTTACAAATAAAATGTTTACAAGGATTTTTTTCTAAATTTTAACATTTACAGTTTTATTTTGCCCTGGTATAGCCTTGTTGGTGCGGGGATATTAATTGTGTGGAAACAATTTATATTATGAACATAAGAAGATCAGTGATGCCTGTCTAAATGTTAAGTTAAAATATTAGATTTAATCAAGTTGAATAATATTTAATTATGAAATGCATGTGTACTACTGAACATTATTGGTTAAGTCATCATCAGTAATTTAGTATCGGTCATTATGAACAAAATTTTTGATAGAAGTTGCTATTCAGTACTACCCAGTTTACATATTTGGTAAAGCAGACATTTAATGTCTTGCAGACAACAGTATCAAAATTAGTTTTCCCCAACCCATACATACCTTATTAGCTGGCAAATATTGTTTGACATGTACAGTACCTGGTATCTGCATCACAATCATTATTCATGGGATTATTTTAAAGAAACTGTCAACAAGATTACATAGGACATTAAAAGTCTCCCTGCATATACACATCTATAGAGATTCCATAACATTTAATTATGAGTACCACAATTCAAAAGGTAGTTATTAGTTAACCTATCAACTGCTGTAATCAGCTGTAATATAAATGTAAAGTAAGTTTGATTTTCCTGTTCAGAAATAGCAAGGTGTCTCCTGTTAATAACGATAGTGATATTTCATTCTGTTTGAAGGAAAAAATATACATTTTTCAGGCAGTGACAACAATTTTATAAAGTACATATTGGATTTGAACATTTAACTACTTTGCTTGCCAGTCACACTGTAGTTATTTTACACTGTATCGATAGTACAATTTTTATCAACATATTTATTTCTATTGTAAATATATTTATAATCAATGATATTATTTCAATACATTTATGTTTTTTCTTCTATTATTTGTTTTACTGTAGGAATAACCTATATTTAGGATCTATTTCGAAGTTCCTGCTTAAAAGTATTTTAGTCCTTGACTATATTTCGGGCCATCTTGGAGAGAAGGTAATTATTTATTTCATAAATCAATATTTATTATTATTCTGATTAGTATTATAGTTTATATTTGTTGTTTGTTATCTATGAATGATGCTATTTTTTAAGACATTATCATTATTTTATTTTTAGTATAATTATTATTTATTGATGTTTGTTTTCTTTATTTTGACAAAAGACGAAGTTTCATTTATTAGAAAGTGTCATGTGTATGCTATTTTGATTTATCAAATGGTCAACTCAGAATTTATTAACTATTAATTCAATTTCATATAAGATATTGAACTTTTTACTCAGATGCTGCTTAATTATAAAAAATCTCAAAAGGTCATCAGTTTTTGGGTGATATTTTGTTGGTTGTTATTATTGAATGCTTTAAGTTTTCAGTCCTGTCTTCGACCCAGTTTTTATTTCATAATGGATTTTTTATTTCAATCAAATTTTTTATTTTTCATTATACATTTATTCTTTTGACCAGTGTCACCGTATTTAGTGAGAATATTCATTAACAATATCTCCGTTATTTTTGCCATTATATTGTTTGTTTTTTTCTGTACATTTCTTTTAATCCTATGGCTTGCTTTGATATATTTTTTATTTGCTTTTCATCAAAATATCAGTCATTGATCTGAAGAATTAAACACATTGCATAAGCATAGAGCAATAGATATAGCAACACAGACTTGTAAAATCATTATTGCATTTAAAATGTTTTGATTTTTTGATATTTGACTGATTTAGTTAAATTTGATTAGTTTAAAATGTTTAAGCAGATTAGCACGGTGTTGTTTGATGAGGCAATGTTTATCCATAAATTTTATGTCAATCCTTTGAAATTAAAAGTAAATTAAATCCAACAATAAATAGAAATGAATATATTTGATTTACTATGGCACTAGCATGAGAAAATACATCATCATGAGATGTGGAATGTGTGCATATTTTCATGGAACGAAACCCCTCTTATCCTCAATACTCCAGGGGTTACAATCATTTTTGCTCTCTGCACCCCTGGAACATGGCATGGAAAAATTGAAGGCACAGTGGATCAAAGTAATCTTTTCGTCTTGTCAACAAGCACATGGAACCTTTTGCCATGACATGTTCCAGAGATACAAAGAGTGAAGGTGATCGTAACCCATGGGTATCGAGAATGAACCTGACTTCTGAACCCAAATACAAATGTCAAAGTGCAACATACTTAAGTCCAATTTGTGTGTCGTGATTTTACTCTCACCACCTTCTCGGAACAAAACTAATCAAAAGAATCTGATTTGAAAAAAAGAGAAGGATAGAATAAAACCATCCCTACTATACAAAATAAAAAAAAACATTGCCTTAAATAGATAATGTGCCATATTTTTCATAAAATATATATATTTGAATATAGCCAAAGATGCATTCATTTCAAAACTTGTATATTGAATCCAATATGGCAACTTGGCTTAATATATTGCACTTTGTCATTTGTATTTGGGCCTAGAGGGATTTTGTTACTTGAAAACATGCAATGGGAAAAAGGGAATGTCAAAGACTGTATAAACATGGCATGTAGCCTCCGCAGACAGAGAAGATTAAAATATATCAATGAAGGCATTATTTAGTATCAAGTTACACTGAGGGTGATTCCTCTTAAATCAAGACAGTTAAATACAAATTGCATGGCCAAAGATGCAATCACTGCAATACTTGTATACTAAACCCAAGATGGCAACTGGGCTTATTACTTGACAAGTTTAGACTTTTATCCAGTATTAAGCCCATCCCATGCACTCTGGACAAAAAATAATGACTGGCTTCATGGGCTTTTTATGCTTGTTGCGAGATAAATATGGAAGTTATCATCAGAAGATTGGGTTTTATGAGGATGATACAGGTTTGTATCCAAAATGTCAAATTCTTTATGAGAAATAGCAAAGGCCAATTTTTAACTATTACATATTTGAGAAACTTGAATTAATGTGAATTAAGGAATAACTTGAGGCAATGATGTATATTATACATAAATAGCTATAAATATTAATGTCTTAAAAATTTTATCAAAATTAACGTAATCTTTGTGTATATATAGTATATTTTGGAGCCTCTGTTCATTGTATTGTAACATTTCTACTCTGATCAGTGTGGTTTTACTCAACTGTCAAGGCATCAGTTACATAAATAAACCACTTATGGATTAAACTGTAAACACCTTCTGATTGGCTGTTATATTGAACTTTGACCTGTATGAATTTTAAATGGACATTTTGGTGGGGAGGGAGCTTCATGTACTTTCAGAGAAAGTGGTTTGTGGTTGGTTTCAGTATATATCTGTGAAGATACCCATTTAAATTTGTAATAAATTTTGATATTTCCACAGTATTCTGAATCTGTAAGTTTTGCATATTTAGAGAGCGGCATGTCACTACATGGCTATTTCCTTGTGGTCTTTAGTGATGGAGAGCTCTGTTATCGGAGCATTATGTTCTAAATGGTCACAACAAGTCCTATCTTTGTGATCATTATGCCCTCTGCTGTATATGTGGATACAAAACAATTAAATTTATCATCAAAATAGCTGTTTTATTGTGAAAGGAACAGGTCACATGATTCAAGCTTAGTTGCTTGTCGTGATATTTATTTCACTCTCCTTAGAAAATTAGATAATGAGAATGCAATAATCGTCATAGTCAACTTAACCTCTCTAACACCCATAGAAACTGTTAATATCACCTACAGATACTACAGTGCACAGTAAACAGCTCTAGGTCAAAGGTCATCTATGATGAAACCAATGCCATGTTTAACAAACATGAATTTATGTTGCCATAATCAGTTGCATATCTATATATTTTTTTATTTGTATTTAATTTTTTACCAAAATCGCCAGTATCAACATCACATTAATTACACCAATTATCCTTTTATAGTGACAAATTCATGTAAGTATTCGCAGTCTGTGATCTACATTCTTCATTCATTGTCTGATTGTCATGAAACTTCCAGAACATGCTTGAATAATCACCAGCTTGCTGCAGTTGACTTGTGAATCACAGTTTTACAGATTTGTACCATGCAATGTTCTGTATGTCCAATATATAATTTTGTGAAAAAAGGACAGAATTCAGTGAATATGCAATTTTAATTGGATTTAAAGAAAAATCTACTTTTAATATGTATTTTTTGTTTTTATATACATATGTTATATATATGTGTTAAAAGGGAAGTACTAGATCAATACTACCTCATTTATGTGCATGTAAGTATTTTAATAGGTCCTGGTACGTCCTGGTTACTCGTGTAGTCAAGTGATGATATCTAATAGTATTAATCTGATATCAGAATTGAAGTATATTCATGAAGAACCATGACTTTCAAAGTCTTCACAGTTGTTTGGGAACATTAGATTCAATATTTTTTTATCAACCATAGGCATAACCGCCTCACAAAGTAAATCTCTTGTGACATTATGGTTTCAGGTCATTTTTAAAATGATAAGTGCTAGATAAACTTAACACTTGCCCAGCAATCTTATCCTTGATAACTGCATCAAAGATTATACTGTCGTGATTGCTGATACAAATTATCAAGTTGTGAACAAAAAGCACATACAATATGATCTCTTTTGAGTTTTGACTTTCTAAAGTTATGTAAGTGCCAAGGGCACAGATATTGCTCTGAAACGCTTTCTGCTATTCATGGCTATGCTAAGAATTATAGAATCTACTGCTAATTTATTTACATGTAAAAACCATACTAATATATGTTCTTTTTTTTTCATTTTTGTTTTCTCCTTTGATGGTGGCTGATGAAGTCGTGACCCTAAGCGGCTGCGACCTTTACCAATCTTGGACAGTTGGCGACACCTTTATCAGATATGGATGAACAGGAGAACACTACAAACCTAATCATCAATTATTTGCCCCAGACTCTCACAGATGAGGAATTTATGTCCATGTTTCTCTCCATTGGCCCGATCAAGTCTGCAAAAATTGTCAGAGACAAAGCAACAAACTATAGTTTTGGGTTTGGCTTTGTGGAATACCACAGTCCACAGGATGCAGAGAGGGCAATCCAGACATTGAACGGCTTACAGATACAGAACAAGATAATCAAAGTAGCTTTAGCACGACCAGGTGGTGAGGCTTATAAAGGAGCTAACCTGTACATCAGGAATGTCCCAAAACATTTCAAAGAGGCTGATTTAGAAGCACTGTTTGATGGATATGGTGCTGTTGTTCAGTCTCGTGTATTGATTGACCTACAAACTGGCGAATCTAAAGGTGTTGGATTTGTGCTGTTTAGCAAGAAGTCAGAAGCTGAGGAAGCTATAATGGGAATGAATGGTAAACCACCATGTGATGGTGAGGTGCCACTTATTGTTAAATTTGCTGATGATAATACAAAGAAACAACAACAGAACATGTCTGGTGGTCAGCGTTATAACCAACAGTCTACAGGTGGTGGCCAAGCAGGACCAATGAGAAATCCCCCAGGTAACAGGATGAGGTTTAATCCAATGGGCAACCAAGCTATAAACAATTATGGCCCAAATAATTACAGTGGTCCAAATATGAACTATGGAAACATGTATGGTTATGGCGCTCCCCAGGGCCCCCATGGATATGGTGGGAGCATGGGTGAGGGTCCAAATTATGGGGGAGGCCACGGATCTGGAAGTCCTCTTGGTACAAGCCACTTGGCTCCTGGGGGTGGGTACATTATATATGCATACAATATTGGATATGACTGCACAGAGAAAGAGCTTGCAGAACTATTTGCTGATTTTGGAACTGTGTCTAAGGTCAATGTGATATATGACCACCAGAGAGGCCAGTGTAAAGGGTATGGATTTGTTACTATGACAAACTATCGCGAGGCACAGAATGCTATACTTAATCTGAACAGTTACGTCCACAAAGGGAGACAACTTTCTGTTTCCTTCAAAAAATGATGCAATACTTTCCTTTCACAGAGGCATTTAGAAATATAATATCAGTAAAAATAGATGTGATTAATTTACTGAACATTTGGAAACAATGCATTCCAGTTGAGATACATATTTGCCACAATACGTAGTAATCCTGAATGGTTTAAGTATTGGGGCAAATACATAAGAATCTCAGGAATGGAGCACTACTATGTTAAAAAGCTGTTGACAATATTATGAAGTTGTGAAACAAAATGTATGTTACTTTTAATATTTGTTATAAATTTGAAGATAAATGATAGAAAATCCTAAATTTCTCTGATTGCAGTACCATTGACTTCAATATTTTTAAACATGACAGGATTTCACAGAATGTCTTGTTCACATATGTTTACTTATTCTTACACTGTATAATACTGTATAGTTGTTTAATTTCGCTGGGCTAATATTTGTTGTTGTCTGGATTTGTGCTTGTTCCTGGGTACTAAATTTTGTGCACGTCTGTGAACTGGTGTCCATTTCTACAGATGTAACAACAGGTAATTTCGGAGATTTTCATTCAGTGTAAAATATTCAGTGGGTATATAATTTTGCATTATCTTTATTTACCATGAAAATAGCAAAATGAAATTCCCTGCTAATATTACCAACTATACAGTGTCTTATTTCTTTCTTTCTTAATTTTATTTAACTAGTTGTTGAAATATCTGGTTAAATTTTGTGACTTGAAAACACATTATTATTTTGTCATGATATTCATTCCCTGTGGTTTGATTTTGTACTGAATGCTCAAACAGTTAGAGTGATGTACTAATTAAGATTGTGAAGATATGTAGGGACGAATTTGAATTTTTTTTCACTTGTTGAATAGAATTTGCAAATTCAGTTTTTTCCTCTTCAAAACTTTGACATACCAGCCATGATGGCCATTTTTAAACATGACTGTGTCATCATGATTTACCTGAATAACACATTTTTAAACTTCTCCTTTTCCACTAGTTGGATTCAGCTGAAATGTGCATGCACAGATCCTGAGATGCTGACATTAAGGAAAGAAGAGACAATAAAGGGCTATTTTTTTTAACCTTCTCAACACTTTGACATAGCAGGCACGGCTCATAACCCCATTTTCTAACATGATTATGCAATCATTTTTTATCTGAACAACACCTGTTTCAAACTCCTCCAGTTGTGCCTGAAATGATACTGAGATGGTCCTTACCAAGACGTGTTCTTTTTCAAATCAATCTGAAATCTAGTAGATTTTAAGTCTCTCCAGTGCCACTGAGCTGAAATTGTTATGGAATGTTGAGAAACTGGAATGATGAGAGTGTTGTGGTTTTTGTTACATTTACAAATAGAATTCAGAACTGTCTTAAATATTTGATAATTGTTTCCACTGCCATTACTGTTATTATATAATTTACAGGTTTTTATAATCAGATAACATTGGCTGGAGACATTTTAGTTTGATGTACATGTAGTTGCTATAATATTGTCTTCCATGTTACATGCTTGGCAGAGTTTTTTCTTGTCACAGGATGAAAAAGGATGTACGTGTACCATAATTATGCTGACCTTGAAGTTTAAATAACATATTGATGTAAGTGATCCAAGCGGTGCTTACTTTAGTCTGAAGTAATTGTTTTGGCTCATTAATTGTGATACTGACATATGAGGAAATAATCTCTCTTCTATTTTCTTCACCTTGGTTAGCTAATTTTCTTTACCTTGATTTGTCAGTTTTCCTTACCTAGAATTGCCAGTTTTCTTAACATCGTCTAAGCAATTTTCTTCACCTTGGTAAGCCAGTTTCCTTAACCTAGGTTATCCAGTTTTTTTAATCTTGATAGCTAGTTTTCTAAACCTAGATTAACCATTTTTCTTTACCTGTGTAAGCCAGTTTTCTTTAGGTATAGGTTAGCCAGTTTTTTTTTTGGCGGGGGGGGGATTGGTTAGCCAGTTTTTTCTTTTTTTGGGGGGGGGGGGGATTGGTTAGCCAGTTTTTTTGGGGGGATTAGTTAGCCAGTTTGTTTTGGGGGGGATTGGTTAGCCAGTTTTTTGGGGGGTTAGTTAGCCAGTTTGTTTTGGGGGGGAATGGTTAGCCAGTTTTTTGGGGGGATTAGTTAGCCAGTTTGTTTTGGGGGGGATTGGTTAGCCAGTTTTCTTTAGGTATAGGTTAGCCAGTTGTATGGTAGATTGGTTAGCCAGTTTTTTGGGGGATAGGTTAGCCAGTTTTTGGGGGGATAGGTTAGCTAGTTTTTGTTTTGGATTGGTTAGCTTTTGCTTTCAGAGAAGCTTATGATACAGTGTAATTACATTTGTGTGTATTTTTTTTCCATTTAGTGATAGATACATGGTTTCAGCTTACTTTGCTTACTCAGCCTAGTTTGATTTCTGGTGTGACCTCAATGCATATTTATAGCAGAATATCTATTAGTAATAAGTTTAAGTTTTAAATGAATAATTAACATGAAATGCCTAGCTTTCAAACATGACTCTAAAGTCTTATGGTAAGTGCATCCCTACACCAAATATCCAGTGTTCTTGATACAGTTAATGGAATTTCTAAAATGTGCTCGCAGATACTTATCGTTTTATTTTTATCGCAACATGTTCTGTCGTCATCCGTATGTACTTGAATATTTATTGTTATCATTATTTCTAGATGATCATCTTAAAGTTTTACAAGTAGGTTCCCCTTGGTCACTGCTCCATTTTCGAACTGGTCCTTAAAACAAAATGGCCAAAAGGCATCCAGATTTTGAAGGATTTCATATGTAGGTTCAGCTTTGTCTGTAGTTGTGCCAGATATGTTTTCTGATTGATTAGGAAAAATATCGCCAACAGGCAGCCATATTGGTTTTTGACCATGGTAATTTATCATTATTTCTGGAGAAGTACTGGATAGATCTTTACCAAATTTAATAGGTTACCTTTGGTCTGTTGTTCCATTTTATATCAGAACTGATAAACAAAACACTGGCTGACAGGTGGCCATCTTGGATTTAGACTGAAAATTTGTCATCTCCATTACATGAAAAGTACTGGATGGATCTTTGTTAGATTTGTTATAAATTGGTCCCAAGTTGTGCCTTTTTGATTTTTGGGCTGATCAGAAATACAAAAGTGCCAACGGACAGCCATCTTGGATATGATAGAATATTATCACTGATTCTTTTAGAGAGGAATTTTCAAATTTCATATAATAATTAGCATAACAAAGAAGAAGATCAATCATGAGAAATTATCGAACCTTTTGTTTAAGACTGAATGAAGACCAAGAATTGGTGAGCACCAGGTCCTTATGGGATATCGTGTCAGTAATACTCTACAGTTCATGTAGAAAATGATAAGTCCAGCATATATAGACAAGCATTAAGATATAACTAGAGTCGAAGATTCCTAGCTCTTGTTGACGTACAACGGAAAAACATCACAATTCTCATATATGCTGTACTGAATATTATGTTAAACACTAAAGACAATCAGTATTCATGCCAAAATGGTATTTGTATGTGTTCAAAGGTACATAATATTGTATGATATTTTACTTCAAATGGTTAGTGTAATATTTTCAAAGGGAGCTTTCATGTTTATCAAGATATATGAGATTGTAGTTAATCTAGTGAAAGAACATGATTATAGTTTTTCTGTTTGCAGATTTGTGATTGTTGACAGTCTCATAATATCAGAAAAACCTGCGTTTTTTTTCAGGGTTTATTTTGATATTTCACAATTAGTCATCAAGATCTAACTTGTATTTGGAGAGAGGTAATGATAATCTAGACTAATCTCATATAAGTACATGTATGTTACAGTCATTCAGGAAAAGTGCTTCCCCAGACGTTGTTATATATATATATATATATACTTTACAATAAAGCTATTTTTTTCAAGTTTTCTTGGAAAATAATGACACGTGTGAGAAGTGTAATGCCTGTGCATTTGCATATAGATTGCACAAATTTTACTGATAACTGTTGTTTTTTGTTTTGTTTACAAACAGTCAATAGTTGATTTATTGGAATCAAAGAAATCCATTTTATGAGATTTATTTAAAAAGACGGATGATTGTAAATCATTTCCTGCATATGACAGTAAATATCAGCACATTTTTACATTGGTCATGAGTATGAATATTGTATTTTCATTGTTGTTAGTGTTGGTACATTATGAAGGCTTTATAAAAGTCTGTACGATGATCGAAATTAAAATTGAAGGAGTCAGTACTTTGGTCTCTAATTTTTAAGCATTCTATTACCTGAACAATGGGAGACATACATAAATGATTCGCAAACAAATACAAATGGATGACAAAACTAAGTAACCAGTCTAGGTATACCTGTACGAATATTTTCATTTTATGAGATGCATTTGCAATGTACAATCTTGCTTTACTTTATTTTCAACAAATGAAAAAGGTAAAAGAATGGAATTGATATAACTTTATTTTGTATTAGCGACGGTGCCATATATACATAAGGAAATTAATTGCAACTGCAATAAAACGCCTGTTACGTGGAAGTATATCTGCCTAGTTTTGATTATGTAAAACTCCACGTTGTCCATTCAGTGTTTACATGCAAATGTGTTGTCCATATTATTACAATTATTATTGTTATCTGAATGGCCCCTCAACACATAAAAAGGTCATTAGGGCCATAAACAGGTGAAACACAGCGATTCAAAAGGAAATAACATCAAACAAACTAAAAGGTTAAAAGACAAATGCTACAAATCTTAAATGGTTATATTATCATAAAAGATTGGTAAGTCATAGTGTATATCATAGACCAACATCTTTAAGATAACCTAAAAATTTATAAAAAGTTTCAAACAGTGTCTTTAGCGTTATCCATCAGAAATATCCGACATCAACATCTCTGATACATACGATTCTGCAATATAAATATGATTAATCAACAAAATCACTTAAATGTTTGTAAAAACAAATTTTGTTGTAGGAAAGAACCTTTACTGCAAGAGTCATGATACTTGACATGGTGTTTGCAACCAATCGCATCTTAAAATTGTAAAATCTCAGTGGGCCTGGGTGTTCGCCATTAGATGACACTGGACTCAGTGGGCCTGGGTGTTCGCCATTAGATGACACTGGACTCGGTGAGCCTGGGTGTTTGCCACTAGATGAGACTGGACTCGGTGGGCCTGGGTGTTTGCAACTAGATGAGACTGGACTCAGTGGGCCTGGGTGTTTGCAACTAGATGAGACTGGACTCGGTGGGCCTGGTTGTTCGCCATTAGATTACACTGGACTCAGTGGGCCGCGACATTCGCCATTAGATGACAGTGGACTCAGTGGGCCTAGATGTTCGCCATTAGATGACACTGGACTCAGTGGGCCTGGGTGTTTGCCACTAGATGACACTGAACTCAGTGGGCCTGGGTGTTCGCCATTAGATGACGCTGGACTCGGTGAGCCTGGATGTTCGCCAATAGTTGACACTGGACTCAGTGGGCCTGGATGTTCGCCATTAGATGACGCTGGACTCGGTGAGCCTGGATGTTCGCCATTAGATGACACTGGACTCAGTGGGCCTGGATGTTCGCCATTAGATGACACTGGACTCAGTGGGCCTGGGTGTTTGCCACTAGATGACACTGAACTCAGTGGGCCTGGGTGTTCGCCATTAGATGACGCTGGACTCGGTGAGCCTGGATGTTCGCCAATAGTTGACACTGTTCTCAGTGGACCTGGATGTTCGCCATTAGATGACGCTGGACTCGGTGAGCCTGGATGTTCGCCATTAGATGACACTGGACTCAGTGGGCTAGGGTGTTTGCTACTAGATGACACTGGACTCAGCGGGCCTTGGTGTTCGCCACTAGATGACACTGGACTCAGTGGGCCGCGACATTCGCCATTAGATGACACTGGACTCAGTGGGCCTGGGTGTTCGCCACTAGATGACACTGGACTCAGTGGGCCTGGGTGTTTGCCATTAGATGACACTGGACTCAGTGGGCTAGGGTGTTTGCTACTAGATGACACTGGACTCAGCGGGCCTGGGTGTTCGCCACTAGATGACACTGGACTCAGTGGTCCTGGGTGTTCACCACTAGATGACACTGGACTCGGCGGGCCTGGGTGTTCGCCATTAGATGAGACTGGACTCAGTGGGCCTGGGTGTTCGCCATTAGATGAGACTGGACTCAGTGGGCCTGGGTGTTCGCCATTAGATGAGACTGGACTCAGTGGGCCTGGGTGTTCGCCACTAGATGACACTGGACTCAGGGGGCCTGGGTGTTCGCCACTAGATGACACTGGATTTAATTAAGTTTAGAAAAGTTTAGGTATATAATCTATAAACTGACCACGCAGTTTCCACTGACCTCTACCACAATGCCTGACAAGATTTAGCATGTCGATAGTTGGATTGGAGGACGCCCAAATATTTTATGTTACGTGGACCTATAATCCACGGTACAAGGGATGAATGTGTTGCATGTTCAGATAAATTTTAAATCGTGGAGAAAGGTCGTAAGATAACATGGCTGTTCCTAAAAGGGACACGTTTCCCATATTCGACACAGCACCAACATTTTGAAATACAAGTGCATAGTAACTTTTGAAAATGAAAATTTGATATACTTGTAGTCGACAGGAGCGATTCTCTATGTCTACCTGTTATGTCTTGCTTCTGAACAAAATTTGAAATTCAGAAAACTGAAAGTAAAGTTGGGGAAAAGATACTGTGCAACAACAGGAAAATCAATTCTTGTATTTTTTTTTTTTTTCTTAATAAACTGATGAATTGTCCCATTTTCGGTACTTTCCCCCAAAATTACAAATTAACCTGGTTCGTTATAAAGAAACACATGCATAGACTGACAGGTTAAGGTGTCTTGTTAGAGTGATTTAGAGTTGATCAACTAAGTACAAAAATGCGAATATTTACATTAAAAAGTGTTAAAATTTTAGTAGTGTGCATTACATTCCTTGTGCACAATACAGGCTTCTAGATCGCAGTGATAAAAATGTGTCTGGGACACTGAAAATGCCATTAGAGCTGATATTGATCTGAGTTATTGTTTGCCAATGTTATGTTGGTTTCCAGTCTTCTCTTTAATTACCGTGGTCGGTATGTATGTTATGTCACGGACGTCCGATTTTTCGGATCGTCTGACTGGTAGCATGCAGCGAAGGCACATTTCAGAATTATGTACTGCAAACCAACTTCTATTTGTGCATTTTCTCATTTGAAAAGAATTGATGATAATTAGCAATTATATTGTACGTGTTGACCGCAATAAACTTGTGATTAGGAAATTGTGCAAAATAGTTGAGTATGCACATAAACTTACCTCTTCTAGTATAACGTTTGACAGTTATGATATTGAATTAAGCAGCTTTGTAAGTCTGCCATTTAGATTTTGACATTTTTTTCTATCATTTTTTCCGTCGCTTTATTTTAATGTGTTCGGCAAAGTAATGGGATTTCAGATGCAGTACAGTTGAATTTAAAAGGTTCTGTATACAGAGAATACAAATTAAAATTAAAGAAATTTTGGAGCGTTCAGTTGATGAACGATCTTATTCACATATATAAGACCAAATGAATTAAGGAGAAAACGTTAATGACTTGTTCCATCACTGACAATTCTGAACGATTTGATAGGTACATGTTACTATGTACTACACTCCTTGTCTACTACGAAAAATATTTCTTATGTGTGAGTTGCTACCCCTTGTCCATAATTTGGAAATTATTTCCACCCTAGACATTCCATAGAATGGAGATGAGAACATTTCAAAGTCAAAATCTAATATGGTCGCCTTTTCAGCCACTTTATTTTTCTTATCAGTCCCGAAATCTAAACGACATAACAGACCAAAGGGAACCTACCAATGAAATTTGGGAAAGATCCACCTGCTACTCATCCAGAAATAATGATAAATTATGACTGTCAAAAACCAAGATGGCTGCTTGTCGATAATTTTTGTTTTCTCATTAATCTCAAAATGGACTGTGACCAAGTAGGGACCAAGGTGAACCTTCATATGGTATTTCAAAATAATCCGTTTGATGTTTTCATGAAATAGCGATAACGATTTATTACTGTCAAAATTCAAGATGGCCGCCTTTCGGCCATACAATTTTTCAGATCAGTCCCAAATCCAGACAATGCACACTTAGGAGCCAAGTGAAACCGACATATGAAATTTCTGAATGATCCACTCTCTTCTTCTGAAGAAATAGCGATAAGGACCATTACTATTAGAATCATGTTTGGAATTTTGACATTTTATATCAATTATACAATGTAAACTTATCGCTTATTGATTGGTCTTCTATAGAAAGGACTTTTCAATACATTATTTACCTCACATCAAATCTACGTTAATTATTGAATGAAAAAGCTAACAATTTACACATATAAAAAGTACATTGTATCACAAACGTCTATGAAAACACTAACAAGTTCAAGGTGGAAAAATTGGATAACCGAGGTAAAGAGAACTACGAAAGCTTATTTAACCATTTTGAAAAACAACAAAATATTTTTTTTTGTTTAAACGCGATAACTTTCATCACGTTTTAACGCGTAAGAGAAAACGAACACGTTATTACGAGATAGCAAAATAGATTTAACGAGAAAACTGCCAAGTTAATACGAGGTGATTATCACATTAAAGCAAGGTAATTATAATATTCTTTAGTTTTCTTCTGTTATTTCACAATGATATGTCACTTCTCTTGTTGCCTATCCACGTAAAAATATTTCTGAGTGGCCTCGGTACCATGATATTTACCAGTGATGATTTCTATTGCTTTCTATAATGGTTTTTGAAAAAGTGCATCAACCGGAGAAATTTGCGATTTACTGATATTCGATCAGTGTCTCCACAGAGCTTTTAATATCAATAACATAGAAAACTTGGATGTAAGTATTCTTTGTAAATAGTATAATTAAATCTGCCTAAAAATAACTGGGTTTAAAGTAAGGAACAGTTAAACACATGCTATAAAGTTTGCTGAGTAAAGGTCAGGAAAGCAATGCATTATCAAGGCATGTCACTCAGTCTAGACGTGTTCATCAAATGCACCTTGTGTACACTTCGGTAGTTCTAGACGCCAAATAATAAACATGTATGTACTTTACATTAAAAAAATGTTAATAAATTAAACGTGTTCTTATTATTATACGTCCGGAGTAATTGCAATTGTGTAGTGCAGGATTTCAAGATTGTAGAAAATGTCTTGATGAACCAACAATGTCTTCTATGTAAGCTGTAGAGTACTTGAGCAATTTATTTTAGTCCTTTTTTTGCCTATTTCATATATAGGTCTTTATATTCAGATGACTGTTAAGCCCCATGGGCCTGTTGTTCTGTTCCGTTTTTGTCCGTCGTCAAGCGTCGTCTCATTTCTGTCTTCTCGAAAACCACCATAGTGATTTCTATAAAATTTCATAGAATGGTGACATTGTGAATGAGAAACTGAAATTGCAATTGTACGAATCCAACTCTAATGGACATGAAGGTCGATGCAAAAGTGGAAAATTGAATATACTTAAAGCCCATTTTCAGCAGACCGAATTACTTCATCATAAAACCCCCATGAACTTAATAGCCCGTCCCACTGTGCTTTGTCAAAATTGCAAATTTCATAGCCCACTCGCTGCCCGTCTCCTGTAAGGAGGGGGTAAATATTAGGATATTTCTTATAGGAAACTAACACTTTTGAGTATATTTCGTTTATTTTTAACGAGAAAAAAACCTTGGTCAGAATTATTGCAATCACATGTAAACTTTTGATAATATATAAAAAGTAGACCCCAACCCTCAGGCGTGAAGGGTGGCTCAGAAGGGAAATTAGCTTATATTTAAAAAAAATCTTCGTAAGACTGGGATACAGTATAACAATAGAAGGCCTCTTCAATGGATGGAAAGGTCTCCAGTGGCTTCATCAAAATTGTTAATTTGATTATCACGGCAAGGGTGGATTTTACACAAGAATATTTGAAATTACTGCAACATCTATGTTTTGCTTGTCATTGATATAAATAGTACACATTGACGCCCAAACTTCTGCGAGAAATTGTGAAGGTTTTGTGAAAGTGGTAAAAATGCTTCTTTCAGAACATTTTTTATTTCATGGAATGAGTTCACAAACTCATTATTGGTCGCCATTTGCTGGCCACGGATTCGTCGAAATTTCAATATTGTTGGGTCTTTATGAAATATGGTACGTAGATGTATCATGCTACATCGTCATGCTGCTTTAATATCACATCTACTTGATTTATAGCGATAATCACAGACAACAAACGTTAATCTAAATGTCAGCATGTCATTTCGGTAGTAATAGACAGGTCATTATAAACCTCCATTAGGTTACCAAATACCAAACTCGTGCAGAATGTAGGGCGTGTCAATGTGCATCGCCGTGATTGATACAGGATTTAGGAATTAATCTTGTAATCATGAAGACTATATCAATTCACAGCAAAGGAGGTGCTGTAAAGTTTTTCATTTATTCAAAATTTCGCGGTTTTACAAAAATTTGGTACACAAGGGATATATTTATCACAAAAGGCTTGAAATAGACTACTGTTTTTCTTTCTTTTATTCATTTACAAAGTGTTTTTTTTCTTTTTTTTCATAGTTTCATTCCATCCTCAAGAATTCGCCGGAACTCCTCAACATTTGTTTTCAGTAGTGATAGTGTCCATTATCTCCTTTCTTTGCTAGTTAAAACTCATTCGTCAGATAAAGTGAAGGCCATTTTTCATTTCGTATATTCAGGCATTTTCGCGGGAATGATATTTTTCGCTATTACGCGGTATATGAACGTGATCGCAAACATTAATTTGAGAGATAATGAGACGTTATGGGTTTAAGAGATTCTTTTACATCCGTATTTGATTCGTTAAAAATTAAGAAAGTTTTGATCTGTGAAAATCACTAGCTATCTGTTATTTAATATAAAATATCAAACTGGTATTTTTTATCAACATTTTTAATGACGACAGTAACAACGACACGATTGTTAGTGATATATGCAGCTCTTTAAGATTCAACAATATGAGATTATAGGATATAGAACGAAAATTACAAAAGAGATAGATATTTTTCGTAATCAATAAAAGGCTTTCTCATTTAGTTGACGCAATGTAAAAAAAAAAAAAAAAAAACGATATTTTAGCGTCACTACCATAAACAACATGGCATGTTTAGCAACAAGTTGGTATTTAAGAGGGCGAATGCCTGAGCTAAATATTTCGGAAAAAATGGACCTTACCCCTGTCTTATAAGTCTGCATCCGCTCAGCAGAATGTTGGTTACGGTATCAAATAATATCGAAAATTATCAGTTATCATTGTCTAAACGCTTAACGAACAATTAATTGTGATCAACTTGCTCATATTGATAGTTTTTTATGTCTTTAAATCTTAAAGCTATAAACAGAACATCAAAATCATTTGGTGTGTCAATCTAAATTATGTATTTATATTTTATAAGTATATTCTAGACATGAAATAAATCGTTGTTTTGCTGGTTGTTGATGTATGAAGACATGACTCATTTGATTATAAAATGTCAAACAATCTTCTTTTTTTGCAGATTCTTCAATTTGATTTCTGATCAATATTCTCTGTACATATATGAAATATCCCATTTATTTCGCAAAAAAAGTTTTAGTAACCCCGCCTCCATTATTTTATTATGCTACATCAAAGGCTCTGACTGGGCTCGTTTTTCCTATAAAATTGTCAAATGCCTTTTGTCGTTATTGACTTTTAAATTGTTCGAAGACCTGTGAACTTGCCAGAAGTCGTAAGTAGATTCCGTGTTTTTACTTCCTAACATATGCTACTTTGATTATGTTGTATAAAGATATTGTATGGCAAAGTATGGCATTTAAATTGGCAAGGTGTTAACCTTTCTAAAGTCACATAGACTATTAGCATTTAGCATAAGTCGGAGTAACAGGCACATCATATTAACGTCATTAAGTCATTAAGCACTGCACAGGATCTGTCTTGTATTATATCTGGTCTTTAAAATGTTTTTTCCTATCAAGGTTTTACTTTTTATAACAAGCAGATTTTTTTTTATCAGGATAACCTTTTTTGTCCTTAACTCTTTTCCTTATCCTTGTTATATTTTATGGTTTCTTGATACACACAACTGATATTATACCATGGTTAAAATAAATACTGTATGATGTAGTTATTAACTACCATATTTTGCCATATTTTATCAACCATTTGTTTAAACAGGAAACCAGTATAACTATGCAATTTGCAGTACTTTGTAGGACCATGATGTTCCACGCATTAATGACGTATTTGGTTGTGATCGTGTTTGTCGCAGGAAGGCCTTCGGTAAGGTGACAAACAATATTGCGATTTAATATATATGAAAACAAACATGTTATCCGTTTGTGTATCTTTTGTATAAATGTTTTTGAGTAGCAGTCCGCGAGGTTTGCCGTTACATGCATGCCACAATTTAATCCATACACATGTACTTGCCGTTCATCGAAAATTGCAAGATATATGAAATTTACAAAAAAAGTGAATTATGGGTCTAATTCACCTATCTAGGCTTTCTTTCGATCACTTTGGAATTTTCTCAGTAACGTCCTAGTTTTAAGGTTTTGGTCCTTAGAAACACTGACGGGTCCTTGAAGGACGAAACAGCTGTGAGTTACAATTAAATTCATTATTTGGTTCTACTGTATCTCATCTAAATTTATGAAATGGTGTTATGCATTTTTGTGTGATATTTTTTATAATCTTTAATTGTGGTTTGAAAAAGTAAAAAAAAAATCTTGCAAGAAAGAATGATTTTACTCAAATTAATTTTTGTTGCTCAATTATGTTACAAATAAAGACTAAAACATAAATGTTTAAAATAATTGCATCAGATTAAACCATCATATAGTCCAGTATTATAATCCAAGATACGCTTATGATATCAATGTGTTTAGTGTGACTGTGGTGACGAATATGACCCGTGGTGTGGAGACGAAGGGACCTACAGCAACCTCTGTCAATTGGAGTGCGCGTTAGTATATTGCAAAATCTAATATAACCTGTCCGAACATACCAGTGTTTTTTGTACGGAAGTATCTTGATATACACATGAAACCTATTTGATAAGCAACATGAAATCGTTTCGTGTGTATTAACTGATTTAGTCAATGTTCACAAAAACTCTTATGTATGTACACTGTCTGATTTTAATAGGATATGTACATGTACCTTGAGCTGCTCGTAATAAATTACGATGACTCGGCTTATTCAGTGTCGAGAAAAACAAAAATACTTGTTTTAAACCTTGCTGTCATATTTACTATGCTGATGACACTGCTCACTATAACACGCAGTAGGAGATATGCATTGTGGTACGGTTCAGAATATACACGTATACTTGACGCTGTTCTAAAATTATCTGATATATGAAAATTACAAAATCTATATAATTATGGGACTAACGTACCTCCCCTTTTAGATTTTGACTTTTCTTTCGGTCACTTTCGATCTTCCTAATTCGCCTTCTAATCTTCATATTTTAGGCCCTCAGCATCACTGGCGAGTCCTAGAAGTATGAAACAGCTATATGATGCAGTTTCATTCACTCTTTGGCTCTACTGAATAAAAGTATAAATTATTAAAAGGTGCTGTTCACGTGTATACCTTTGTACAATCCACATGTATATAGATGACTGAAAATGAATTCATTTTTACGGTCTGTTTTTTACTCCAGGGGTGACGAAATAGAAGGCCATGACACGTGTGAAAATATCGAGGTAAATGGTATAATTTATTGCTGGAAAAGGTTTAAATTAATTCTGTTAAATTTTCTATTTTTTTGCTTTCTGAAGACATGATAATCATGAAATACAACAATATGAGGATTTTGCAGCAGCGCTTTATTATTATGTCGGTAAAAGAAATATATAACACACATTTGAATAAAATCATCATACTGAAACATGGAGATTATTTTAATTCAGCTATTTATAATATTCTATTCCAAATTATTTGTTCGCATGTATTTATAAATTTGACTACATTATAGAAATGTTTGGATAATTTACCGGACATAAACGACGGACCCGAAGTTTGTGCCGAACATGGTATTACATTCGACAGTATACAGGAGATGAAATGCCAGTAAGAAATCATGAATATGAATAGACTTCCTTCACAAAAATAATTGCCCTTTTTAATGCGTTTTTATTTCCATAATATTAAAAGGTAATGTACAGTTGTGAAGATTTTCATAATAGGTTAATGTGACAAAGTTGCATATTTCGAAAAACTTTCGGTGTCAATTTCGCTAAAATATTCTAGTTTATGTGTATGTATACTGTAAAGTTTGTTAACTACAGTATTGGTAACATGTTTTGCTTATTTTCACTTTGTAACAGTAAATTGTGTTTGGTGCACAATGGTGAGTGTGAAAACTGAGGAGAGAGTAGAACCAGGGACATCACTGTGGTATGTCGTTACAATAAAATGTCTCGTACATGTAACTGCAGTTTGAACTGAAATATGGTGTTTTTTTCTAAGGTTAACTGAGATAATTTATCATTATTCTAGTTCATTACTTTGAATGAGTTCATGTCATCTCCTATTGATTCATGATTATTCAGAATTCCACATAAAGCGTTGCTCCATTTTACATTGGTACTTTAGAAATTGCAAATTCAATATTTACCGTTATACTTCGATGTTGTTTAAAAACCAGAAATACTACCATTACAGTTTTATCGATATCTGGTGTAACAAGCTATATATTTTTCTGTTTAGGTAGCGCCCGTGAATATCAGGAGCATGTGATGGTTATACTAGGCACATCAAAATATCAATTATGGTTGGAATACTGAATAGTGATTCCAATAAAATATATCTTAAAGCTGCAAATGATTTCTTTCCTTTCATTTTTTATTTCTGTCACAAACAACGAAAAACAGAAGCTCTGTAATAAACTGGATCGTATATATACACGTGGGTTGTTAACTAGGCCACTTAACACACATGAAATGAAACAAATGAACGGAATTATGTCAGAATTTTTATTTTGCGGTTACCCTACTTAAATAATTAAAATGTTATCTTGAATTTAAAAATACACAAAAAGTATGAAGTGAAAGTGGGAATAATGAAGTTTTGTTATTATATATACGGTTGTGGTTAAGTAAGAGATTACATCTTTTAACAAGGAAAATAAACGGTACATTTTGATGACGTCTGGTTGTTACAGACTCGTGTTCATTTGTCCTTTACTGTGATCTTAAGAAACAACAAAAAACAAAAAACAAAAAAAAAAAAAAAAAAAATACCAACAAAACAACAAAGGTATCCTCCAAACTCAAATTTGATAAAATTAGGACAAACTATTGGCAAAAGAAAGATTTATACGGAGACTGCCGAAAATATACAAGGAGAGTAAGACCAGATGTTCCTGAAGAATAAGCATAAATCGTGGTCAGTCCAAGCAGGTGAAGTTATCAAACAGGGACGCAGTAACCAACAATGGACACCAGTTGCCGACATCTCACACGAAAATCGCAATATTGAGAACAAGACTATGGATATCTTTTCAACTGCGACACGTTATTACTATAGGCTTGGGATGCAGGGTAGTTGTTAATGGAAAATTTACAATAATGAAATTGAAACCATCAGGTTTAAAACACACATCTTCTTACATTTATTTGATAACGTGGACTTCGCCTTTCTCGGTAACAGTAAATTCGCTTTTCCAAATACTATATTTATATGTTGCATCTTTCTTTTTTTCGATATTCGACGAATTACTCTTAATATACAAGTAATGACATTCCCATGTCTGACTGAACCTAACAGAAAATTTCAACAGGCTTACTTGTCATAATTTTGTCCTAGGCTTCAGTAGTTTACTCCTTTCACATCAATGGCGAGTCCTAGAAGGACGAGTAGCAGTATGGTGTACTTTTATTCTTTATTTTGCAGTATTATATCAGCTGTATATATCAGCTTTTTACAACATTAAACAACAGGTTTCATCTATGACACTTAAGATTACTTAGTCTTTCGTAGAAGTTAGCTTAGTGATTATATACTTATACTTTGTAATGGTCTTCGTATAGCATTGCTTTTATTTCATAGCGTTTTGAATTATCCACCCGGCTCTATGTAGTAATACTTATGTGTTATACGTAGCACACGGACGAATTTCCCAACAAAATCTTATGTTTACTTAAGATGACAAATACAATTCGAATGAGAAGTCACGACATTATCATTCATCATCGCAGTTAATTTCCCTCACTAAATTTATTCATTGGACACTCATTAATATCTTTTACCTGCAATCGTAAAAAAAGTTATACACATATTAACCATTAAGAACTGAATGACAGGGACCAAAGTTTAAACCTACTGCATTGTTGCACACTTGAAGATAGTGTGTAATGAATCACTCTGTCATATTACCTGTATGTTTGATAATAGATGACGTAATATATATCACTGATCTACACCTTGTAATAAGATATCTAAACTAGAGTAAATGTACTTTATCCTCTAACTATACCTGTTCCTCGTAATTGCAACACTCATACCTTTTCAAAAGCTCAATTACATAATATGTTTAGAGTTAATGTTAACAGTATCCGTACTTTTTACCCATATATATTCACATTGTCGTACTATTATCTTCATGCTTGACTTCATTAGCGAATTGGAATCTGTTGATTCTGTTTCACATATTCAATACAATAAAATTATTAATTGATGTCAGCTGGTAAACTCCCGAAGCTCCCACGTGTATTCTGAATCCTGACAAGTCGTGTCTGCCGGCTGATCTATTTTATGTAACCTCGCCTTATTCAAGTGCAAAACAATTAAAGTTATTAACTTTACAACAAAATACATATATCTAGATCATGTTTCTTCTAAACATGTTATAAGTGTCAAACTGTATCCAAAGAAATATCGCCCACTCATATTCTGACATGACATGAAAATACATTCAATCAGGCCAACAAAACTTAATCAGAAAACGAAATTCCTATCATTGTTATCTTTATACTAAATCGAATAACAAACAAATTAGATAGATAAGTGATAAACATTTTTGCATATTTTAGAATTATATCTATACATGTCTATTCTGTTAATACCAGTTGTGTTAAATATCATCTGACGCGATCAACAGCTTTAATATTAATGGGAGAAATGATTTATGCGGAGATGTAGTTTAAGATGATGTAATACATATTTGTACCGAGAATTAATAAAAAAATATGATCGAGGAACATATAAATCGTGATATGTGTTTGATCAACAGAGACAGGTAGGTGTAACACCATTACAGATCAATCGCTGGAGACATTTACGTGTTCGAGGCCATCACAGTAAACATTTACGTGGCTAGAGATGTATTATCTTCATGGTATCTAAGATCGTTGTCCCTGTTAAGTACAATTAACGTAATATCTATGTGTTAATGACATATATCAGGAAGGTTTGTTGATTCGGGAAGGATAAATCCATCTTTTGAAGGAATTTCGATCATCTTTGTTAATATATTTATGTACATTAACTTTCAAACAACTATAACTCGTTCATTAATTGCCATTTTTGATAAATTAATAAGTCCCTGCATCAGGGGTTATTGCAAATAGAATAAAATCTGTTCTAGGTAAACTTATTGAAAATGACCAAACAGGATTTCTATCTGGGCGCTATATCGGTGAAAACACTAGACTTATCTACGATATAATGAACTTTACTGAGGAAAATAATATACCTGGAATGCTCCTAATAGTTGACTTTGAAAAAGCCTTTGATTCAGTGGCATGGGAATTTATAGATAAAACGCTTAACTTTTTTGGCTTCGGGGAGGGTATTAGGAAGTGGGTGAAAACTTTTCATAGAAATGTTAGTTCAGCAGTGAATCAAGGGGGGAACTTGTCAAATTTCTTCACTATCAAGCGTGGTTGCCGACAGGGCGATCCAATCGCACCCTATATCTTTATATTATGCACTGAAATCTTAGCTATTAGATTAAGAAATAACAAAAACATAAGAGGTATAAATGTATGCAACTTCCCCATTCTTCTCTCACAGTATGCCGATGATACATCCCTAATACTTGACGGGTCTGAAAAATCTTTGGGTGAATCTATTGTTGAGCTGAATTTATTTGCAAGTGTCTCTGGATTAAGAATTAATACAAGCAAAACACAGGTAATATGGATAGGCAATAAAAAATTTAGTACAGATATTTTTTTTCCGGAATTAAATCTACAGTGGGGGAGAGAGAAATTTACTTTATTAGGTATTGATTTTAGTGTAAATCTGCACGAAATGCCTAAAATGAATTTTGACAAAAAACTAATTAAACTAAAATCTTTGATGAAGGCTTGGAGTAGAAGAATATTGACACCTATAGGAAAGATACAAATCATAAAGTTACTTTTAATTTCTCAATTTAATCATTTATTTATTGCTCTTCCTAATCCAAATACTACTTTCATTAATTCACTAAATACAATCCTTTTCAATTTCTTGTGGGGTGGGAAAACTGATAAGGTGAAAAGAAATATCATCACCAAGAATTTTTCTGAAGGTGGTTTAAAGATGATTAACATTCAAGCCTTTATTAGCGCACTGAAATTAGGTTGGCTCCGGAGATTTTTAAGTCCATCTACGAGCAAGTGGAAAATTTTATTTTCTAGATTGTTAAATAATGACATAGCTATGAATTGTGGAAGTGATTATTTTAAGATTTGTAAAGAAAAATGTAAAAATAAGTTTTGGTGTGATGTTTTTAAGGCATGGGAGCAATTATTGATATTGAAGTCTAAAGAGAAAGGTAGACAGCAGTCTCCTCTTAAAACTCCTCTATGGTATAATCCACAGCTGACTATTGGTGGGAAATCTGTTTTTTATAAAGATTGGTTCACTAAGGGAATAAGGGTGGTAAATGATATGATTAAAGATAAAAGTACAATTACTTTTTATTCTTTTAATGAATTTATTGAGAAATATGGGTTAAAAACAAACTTTCTTAGATTTCAAGGGCTGTTGAACTCTATTCGGAATAATATTGACTTGCAGAGAATTTTAGACTCTGATTTCTGTTTGCCATTTATCCCTTGTAGCATAGAACCTTTCTTCTCTAAATTAAAGGGCACTAAAGATTTGTATCAATGTTTTGTGGAAAACAATGAAATTCCCACTGGAAGGAAAAAGTGGGCCAAACAATTCGATTTTGAAGATCATATCTGGGCTAATATCTTTACCTTACCTTTTAAAATAACAAATAATTCTAACTTCCAGTGGTTTCAGTACAGAATTTTGCATTATATTTTAACAACAAACTCTATTCTCTATAAAGCAGGCATAGTTGACAGTCCATTCTGTACCTTCTGTAAATCTGAAACAGAAACTATCAATCATATCTTCTGGGAATGTGA